TAAGTCCTCCGCTTAATCGAGAAACTGCAAGCGTACCTTTCACTCGCGTCCTTCGCGTTTTATCGGCTAATCGGCTATAAACACTTTCCCGAATATTTCTTTAGTTTTATAAGATTTTATGAAATTATTCACCAGAAGTTAGATTGAAAATGTTCGAGTTTATACAGATGTCCCTTTTATTGAGAGTCCGAGGCTTTTATTTGTTGAACAAACAAGAAAAAAACTATCAAAAGATTGTTTGGATTGAAGAGATCGCAGCTTCACAAATAGTTGCGGACGCAAAGGAAACGCTTTCGTCATTGAAAAAAATGAAAAAAAAAATGTTATGCTTTTTACTATTATCATTGTTTGGCAGTACTAAGCATTGAAATTATCGACTCATTGGCAGCTTGTCGTGTAGATAGTATTTCTTAAGGTTCAATTTCACGCCACACATAATGTGGACATTTAGACATAGCTACCATTTGGTTGTTTACAAACTAAAGATGGAAGGTAAAGTAAAGTATTCCCATTCTAAGACTTTTTTAGGTTTAACAGACACTGTTAAGTCTAAAATTAACATTTAGAAACGAAATATAGTGAATGATCCAGACACAGAATGCTACAGTAAAACAAATCAAAACGAAATATGTAAAATGATCATTATAGCCCAGGGCATATATGAGGGTACATAAACGCATTCGGTACAACTACTTTAACACTATCCAGCTTTTTTTAAAACAGAGCTCATGTATGGAACTTGAGTCTAAGCAAATCATTTACGTCATAAGACACTTGTGGCAAAGCCCGAAAGAGATAGCGCAAAGCACAGATATGAGCTCATTGAATGCATGTAAGTTTAATAACATATTCGATCGAGGTACCCGGTAAAATGATAAAAAAACGATAGAAGGTTTTCAATCCATATTACAGCTACAGTTCAAGAAATCTTGAGGACATGTACAGGTAAGCAAACGATTGAAGGAGTACCTGTCTTAGAGTCCCTGTCGACTATTTTCCACTACACTACAGTAGTTTGTTTACAGCACCAGCCTTGGCTCTTGAGCTCGCCATACTACTCTATGTGCGCTGCAAGTAATCTTTAATACCTTGGAGATTGCCCTTCTCCAAAACTTTTTGTTAAATGTTTGAGACAGAGAAGCTCCAGTTGAATGAAATAGTATAATTTGTTTTCCTTAGAGTCCATGACATGTCCTGCTTCACTTTCTGTTTTTGCTCTCCTTCGTGTGTTATTGTTTTCTCTGACTGTTAGCCATTGTGGATATCCCAGAGTACTGCGCGTTGAGTGAAGCAATAGTGAGACTAACCGGGGAGGGGAAGGGGAAAATTGTAAATAACCCCCAGATCGATTAAGTTAAGGTCGAAATCAACCAATTTAACTTCTAAAAACGCATGGTAACCCCTACTTTTTATCTTACCAAATGAAAGTAATAAGCCTACTCAGCAAACGGTCAATTTTTGGTTCGGGGAAAATGTCTTTTACACTATTTTTGAGGCAAACGCGTGGAGAGGGGTAACTGCTGATAACTTCCCAGTTGTACTGATACTTAAAAAAAATACGTATAAAGAGCAGTTGTATGTTATCATTTGTTGTCTATTTTGAAACCTTGTCACAATTATCATTGCGTTTGTGCCAGTTCACGTGTACACTCGGAAATTTTGGGGAAAAAATAACTTTTTATCATTTTTCTAAAAAACGCCTATTCAGCGTTTTTCTCCATATTGAAGCGCAGTTATCTCTGAAAAATGCGTGGTTGCCCCCAGTTTTCTTTTTGGATTTCAATAGCCCCTGATATGATCTACTTGTCTCACATAGTCATTATCTGGGAAAAAATACTTCCCATTGTGGGCACCGTCCTTGAAATGTGAAAAAAAAGAGCTCCGTTTTAAGGCGAGGCTAAATCTATATCATCATAGCAGTGTGTCAGTCATAATTTTCTATGTACAGTTATAAGTCTGCAATGCAGTACGATTGGACTTGATGAACAAATATTTTAAACAAAAGTTGCGTCTTTCAATCTTATTTAATGTTTCATACTTTTTGTGCCATCTTTTGACTCGAATATTCGATATGTGTACTTTTACGCCAAAGGTGCACGTGCGCGAGTAAATCTTCCTTGGAGATATGTTTTGTATTTTGTAGCCCGAATTGCTCGAGCTCCTTCCTTGCTTTTTGTGGTTATCATGAAAGATAAACCCTCTCAAACAAAAAAATCAGTCAGGTACGTGAGAGCATAAGCTTGTAAACTTCGAGCCACTGGCTTATCAGAAAAATTACTAAAAAATTGAAAAAACCCGAATGTTGGGTGATAAGAGACGAGGGGGAAGACCGAAAGTCCTGAATAAAGCCGCTCAAATTTGTAAAGAAGTACAAAAGCCTTACAATGGAAAGAGCCGGGATGATTATCTTTTCTTTGATCAATGCCCAAAATATACTTTTTTCAGCTGCCTAATCTACAAAATGATATTGTTTAGGGGTCGAAGTTGCTCCTGCTTACCAGGTGATAAAAAAGCTTAAAATGAATCATCTGGGGCTCTACACGCTACATGACTTATTGCACTCAATGCCGCAACCGCTACGGAATGTAATAAACAAAAACAAAGGGGGCATTCCTGTTACTGAACTTCTGAATACATGCACCCGATAGAGCAATAAAAATCTTTAAGATATTTCATGTACAAAATAAAGTCTTGATCAAAAGTGTTAGCTCATGAAATTAGAGGAACGAACTGTTGGGACATCATGTATAAATGGTCTTTGGATACTATTTTACAAAGTTTTTGTGAAAAAAAAAGATATGTATATATATATATATATATATATATATATATATATATAAAATAAAGACGTAATTTGTTCTCCGTTGCCTCTGTGGTTTCAGAATCGTACGATCTTTGTCCCTATGCGGTGAACATTCATGATCCTGTATCGAATGGCTTGTGACAAGCGGGAAAATCAAAGCCTCAAGGGAAGATAAAATTCCGAAATATTCGGTCCGATACCATGCCGGAGATGATAACGTAAAGATACAACGTAAAATGGCCCGCCCTCTTTAAGAGTAGAAAAAATGTGCGCTGGTTGTTAAAAGTATATATATGTTGATGTCCGGCTGTATTTGAAATAAAGGAAACGATTTGTCTCCTATATCTTTTTTTATGTTATAGCACAATTTTTCTGGGCACGGATTTTGAAACTTATTTGTTAATTTTTTATCCGAAATTTAGCTAGAAAGGCACATATAGTGTAAATTAAGCATTAAATTGGAAAACTGATGAAATAGTAACTTATTTTTTTTCAGTTTTGCTATTGAAAGCATTATAAGTGACCCTCCATTTCTCAAGTCTCTTGTTACTCTCCTCCACACAAACGTTTCTGCTCGTCAGAGCCCAACATTTCCAACCATCAAGCCAATCAAATTTTTACCTTCAGAATATTGAGACGTAGGTCGTAAGAAAGACCAAAAAAGACCGTGTGTGAATCATGTCCCTAAAAACTTACAGCTGCTTTAATTTGTAACACCCTCATTAGCTGGTGCTATAAGATTACCCATATAACGCACAATTCATGACATTGGCTGACGAGTGGGTGTTATGTGATTTTTGATATTTTAGAAAACGAAAATTGTAGTACCTTTAACATTGTTTGAAGTTGGTCATATTTGAGAGCAATATCAAGACGTGTTTATGCATAGTAGCTTATTCGACGACCCGTGACCAGATATTTCAAACGTCAGGCTGTCTACGTCACAAACCAGAACTGAAGTCAATAATGCTTCACGTTGATGTTAAATTCTTAATCATCGACGCGTTATCGAGAAAATACACAAAATACAGTTATAGGTACTGGAAATTTAGAGGAGGTCAAACAACATTTCATGTATAGACCAACGGCCGCATTCACTTCAAATCCCGTCATATTGTTTCAATCTTCAAGCAGCAGATAGTGTGGAGCTAAGATGCAGCAAGAATACATGAAATTCTCATAAGTTTTCTTTAGCTTCCTGTTTTTACCGATGGAGTTGCTTGGTTCCTTTCTTTTTCTTCTTATCCCACATCTTCTCTGTATCTCAGGTAAGTGACGACGTTTTTACAAGTTAAAGTCAATTGTTGTTCATTTAGAATATTCTCGGTTGCTTCTGCCTTTCAACTTGAAGTTTCTAAAAATTGCTGTCTTCTGTTTTGGTAAAGAGTGTACTATTTCTAATAGTTTGAAACCCAGAATAGCGATAGATCAATTTTGCCTCGTGAAATGATTAAGTGTAGTTCATAAGGTGATCCTTGTAGTTGTACCGATAACCATGCTCTAGGAATTGACAAGTAACTTTGAATTACAAATGAACTTGTTTGCACGATCCTTTTTGAAATACAATTAGCGACGTGTTAATTCGAATTAATTCCACTCACAAACTCGAAAAATTTTAACACGAAGCTATCATAATGTTCCCTCATTAAGTTTTAACAGAAAAAATAGGATCAGGAATTTTTCTCTCAGGAGCTTTACCCTATCTTGAGATTACGGATCTTGTTCAGTTTTATACACATTATTATAATTCCTGTCTGAACGAGCTTCTTTGTGTTTATTCATGCATTAAAGGATCACTAAAGAGAATAACATTTGAAAATATTCTTCATATAAAATCACTGACATGGCCTTCCAAACATTAATTAGTATTTACAATATAAAAATTCATTATACATATAAAAAGATTAAAATCATTTCTAGCTAGTGCTTTGAAATATTTTTGTTAGTTTTAGAAACCTGGGAGAAATTATCAGTGAACAAACTGATTTTACTCACAATCCTGAAAATTAGCTACAATTGTTTGTTTATGGCGAAAGTTTACTTAAAGCTGCTCTCATACGTCTAATTTTTCAGCAGCTCCACTCAGTCGATTTAAATTATAATTGCAGTTATAGAAATAATTTATTTGTAAATAATTCTAAGAAACCTCGCTGAAACGTGGTTATTTGCAAAAGAATAAAATGTTCAATATAAATTGATGTTAATAATGATGATGATAATTTTATATCATTTAGACGCGCAAGTCTCTTTTGTGTTGACCCCTGCAAACCCTGTACAAGCTCTACAAGGTGCTAATGCTACCCTATATTGGGACTACACAAGCAACAGACCACTGACATTTGCCCAATGGGGGACTACGGATAGCGAAAGCAAACTTCAAACAATCATAGCACAACAAAGAGGAAACGGCGAAGTAGAGTATCTCTCACTGAATTACAGAGGGCGAGCCACGATACAAGGGAGAGCTTCTCTTATATTGATAAACGTGAAAGAGAGTGACAGCGGCCAATATGGATGCCATCTGACGTTCGACGGTGTCACAATCATTAACTCTACAAGTTTGATTGTCTCAGGTAAAGTTGCGTAAAAACTCTGCATGGTCCAGTCTTCAGAGCGGCCTCATTTTAACTCCTCTTTGACTGTATAAATATAAATAAAAGCAGGGCAGCGGCATAAAACAGAACCTATTTCCCTTACAGCTTTTCCATAAAATAACTTTATAGTTCTAAATAATAAACAATTATATGAGGCTATATTCGTTTTCTTTTGTTTCAGCCCAAACCACTACAACGCAAGCCCCAACTGTTGCAGGGTTAGAAGATGACGAAAACACCAACTTTCATCCGATTTACCTAGCGTTTGTTGCCGTGGTTTTAATCCTCATCGTCCTCGTTATTGTTTATTTCTTTGTTAGTCGCAGACGAAGAGGTAAGTACAGGGAATGAAGTTCAAATGTACACCATCATTAGTTATACCCATAGTCACACTTTTTTATCACGGCGGAAAGAAAAGGTTCAGAGTGGTTATACGTTCCAGGAGTGACGGCATTATATAGGTAAGAATTATTTTACCAGGTTTGGCATTTTTGTGTCTAAAAGAACTGTCCGCGGCTTGAAAAAGGTGTCCCCCAATAGAGATGTGGAGAACTAGGGATTGTGTTACATTTAGTTTGTCACATATCCTTGATAACAAGAGAGTTGTCAGTAAAAGTAATAATTGGGTAAGCGTAGAATATACCCTCACTGAAAAAGTTCTACTCTACTTGCAATTGTAGCAGTTTCCTCTCAGTGATAGCCTAATGTAGAACTTTGGTGGTATTCAGAGGGAGCAGCGTTTGTAATTTCTCTCATAAATCGAGGGATAGCGCCCTTACATTTGTCTATTCTGGTGGATAAAAATGCAAATGGTTTTCCAGTTGTCTCTTAACTTATGACAGTCTGTTTTTTTTATTCTAACAAAAAGAACACAAAAGGGGAGGGAGGTGGTGGGGACGATGAGAAGGGAAAATACTTAGTAGAGGCACTGTTTCTCCGTCCTTTGTCCCCTCAGTGAGTGCGCATGCCTTGACGCGCTAAATCATTAGTCTCTTGCTGCTTTTGATCCTGTATGTGAATCATCGGAGATGACTGGGGACGAGTAAGATCGAAGCGAGCGTATTTTAAACGGTAATGAAGGAGCTGCTCGTAGGGTCTCTCCCGATTCGCTCTTTTAAACAATGGTAATTCATTGTTTATTATTGTTTTCCACTGTTTTCCGGTTTGGGTACAAAAGAATTGGCTTTCAGCTTCCGAGCAGCTGCTACATGACCATAATTATGGTAATTACTAGAGTCTGTTCCCAATTTGCTGTTCAGTTCCTCTTTTCTACCCCTTAATGGAATGCATGCATCTAATTTATCAAGGAATGCACGCGATTCCTGCATCACCTAACACGACCACATAAGTTGGTAACTAAACTACCTCCTTTCCTTTTTGTAGCACCAGTTGTCATCGATAAAAGGTATGTGTTACTGAAAGTAGAAAAGGGGTACAAAAAAATCTTAAAATTTAAAAAATGAGTAAGGCAGGAGACTAAACAAGGAAAGGAGGTGTAATTTAGTACTTTCTCAACCATCAACAATTAACGACGTTCTTGTTGTAATATAACAATAATCTGTAAATCATTTCAAGTCAGATTAAAAATGTCACTAATCAGCCCTGGCGTGTGGTTTTCCGTTTCCGAGATTAGTCCCCATGTGAGCATTCAGAAGTAAGGTTCTTATTTCCCAGTTTCTACAAACATGATATCATACTAAATCTTTCACATAGGCACTATTCTAACATGTCACAAATGTATTTCCTTCCTCTATAGAAATTCTCGAACATTTGGTCCAGGTGTAAATGGAATGGAAATGGTAGGAAAAAAAATTTTTGCCCATACTTGTAACAAAGATAGATAAACCATTTTCCTAGTAACGCGTTTAAATATTGCATGTGTACAAGGTTTACCCGCTATAAGTACATCTTTTGAGTTAAACTATACAGTGTTACGTTCAGTAGTCGATAGTAACTTAACCTTGAAAATGTCAATTCAATCTACGTACACCCCAAGTTCAGGACAAGATAGTGAAGTTGGTTGCATTCCACCATTCGGGAAATTTGCTGTGTGGTTATTACCCATGGAAAGACTTTGACGTAGAAAACGTGTAATATCACTTAAAGAAAAAAAGGTATAAAATTCAGAGTCGCAAAAACGCATAATTTTTAATTGTCGAGATCGACGTATTTACTACTGGTGGAAAAAGCAGCAAGGTCAGGAAATTATTGCGAGTCAGAGCGAACTTATTTTAGTTATAGCCTCGATGGCTCTTTCGCCTCCCAGAGTTTCAGGCAAAATGTTTTTTTCCAGGAAACTAAACGGGTAACTAACCTATTGACTGAGACCTTGTGGTCTGTATAAGATTCTGGAAAAGTCCACCCATGACCCCTCCCCTCAACCGAAAATGCTTTAAGGGAGGGATAGGTAGGTAGAAACTCAATGCGGTTTTTCTGATCATGGAGCTTAAGAAAAGACGTTTTTGAATGAATGAATGAATGAATGAATGAAGAGTCGTAGATGAGAGGAAAACAGACGTACCCTCTTACAATACATATTAACATGTCATCAGTAATCTCGGACGTCAGCATACAAAGGCGCCACCGGCAGCCGCCTTCAGTCCATTTATGAGCTTAATATACCCACCCAACCCATGCTGTGAATGATGTGATATGTGAGGGTTGACCACAACACCGGGTTCTACGTCCCCTACTCTTTTCGAACAGTGGTGGGGGTTCTTTTACGTCCCACAAGAACCAGATAAGTGTAAGTGCTGTGAGACGGGACCTACGGTTTTCGTCCTTATCTGAGAAGATTAGAAAGTCTAACCGTTCGCAGATGTCTTTACAAAGGCAGCACTTTCTTCTCAGTTATTTAAAGACCCTGAGTGTTGGTCCGGCTAGGGATCGAACCCGAGACCTCCCCCTCAGCAGACCAGCGCTCTCCCAACTGAGCCGAACAGGCGACGCACATCAACCGGAAGTGAGCCCTTCTCTTTTTTCATATGCCTTGACGATAACAAATTTGTATTGCAAAGTTTGTTTTCTCTTATGAAGACGATTTACCCGAGAGTTTTTAGTAACCAAACCACTGCCCAATGATGCAAAAAGTCCACTTCCGGTTGACGTCCGTCGCTCAAAAACGCTGTTGCTTAAGCTCCCTAATACTTGCTCTTATAACTAGAATCTGCTACCATCAACATACACAGACGTCGAAGTAGATAAAAGTCTTAACGAGCCATATGACTCTGCGCGTCAAGATTATTGCGTCATACCACCTTTAATGCCTAATCCAAACGAGAAGGACTGGGAAATTCCGCTGGAAAGCGTTGTATTGGTGAAAGTAATAGGCAAGGGAGCATTTGGCCAGGTCGCAAAGGGCATGGTGAAGGAGTTCGACAAAGACAGTGGGAATCGCCTCGTCGCAATTAAAATACTAAGAGGTAAGGCTAAGTAATTATACTGTTATAAATATGCCTTATCAAGGTTTTGGAAGCCATCTTAAAGAGTAGGCAACCGCGTGAGAAATTACAGTGTTTGTATGAGAATCTAATGTCCAATAATTTCCTTAAAACCGCTTGTTCTGAAAAAAATAATAAGGCCTATTAAAAATGGTCATTTTGATATGATTCATTTACCTAGAATTGTCAAGAATGCATAGACTTTGTATAGACTTTTTAAAAAAGGTCACAGTTATCGAACAAGGTGTTTTCAAAAAACATGGATTTTTGCAGATAACCCCACTGATGAAAATAGACAAGACATTTTGGCTGAGCTGAACACGATGAAGAAGCTTCCACCACATCAAAATGTGATTCAGTTGCTGGGTTGCGTCACAAAGACAGGTATGAAAAGCAGAGATGTACAGAAACTTCCTTATTACAATGTCTCCAATAAACGCTACGTCTTCTGGGGTAGCACTTTTCACGGGACGTATATCTGGCAAATTCATATCACCTTTGAGGTACAAATAGCAGGGGAAGCGATTAGAAATTAGGTTTGATGTACTATGCTATGATGTTTTAAAATATTATAACTCAGAAATACTAATTAAATGGTAATAAAGTAGGGCAGACCTTGCAAAGTTGTTACAGTAATTGGATGGGATAACTTACTGTGACTCTGAAATGGCCCTCATCAATACTTAAACTGAAACATTTTGCTGATTTTATTTGTTCTGCTTTGTACCTGCATTTTTGCAGGCAAATGGGGCTTGGCCTCATGTTGTCTAAGACCTCAAAAAGCTTTCAACATAGTAACCAACCTTCACCAAATCTGGGTAAACAACGTCTATGGAATAAACGAGCATCTCAGAAGTGCGGAAGAGGTTTTGGCTTAAGTCTACGGTTTGTGCACCTGGAAATAATTAGCATAGTAAGATTGTGAGTAATCCGTGTCACCCCTAAATCATCCTGCGTCGAGCCTAGTTGCTGTGTTGTACTACTTTTTGCAAGTTACTTTTAGGTCAAGTTAGTTTTGTACGATGCCAAAATGACTTAAAATATCGTGGCACAATTCCTTTGAAGGGTAAAGAATTAGATTGAGGACCGTGACTCTACGGCTTATTCCCTGAATGTAATTGCAACTTAAGTGACCAACATCAATTTTCTCCTGACGATACCCATACATTGTGAAGAGATTAGGTTATGAGAACTAATAAAATGATCACCCCACAGAAAATGCTTTGATATTTTATCAAATTCTCTCAATTCATTAAGAAAATGTGGGGGGATCAGTTTGGAGAATTTGTATGCGGACATTGGGGCTTAAAGGGTTAAGTACTCTACTTGCAATTGGTATTCAATAGCAATAAGTAAAAATTGCCATTGACACAGCTACTTGCGTTCACCACCAGATCCTGTTATGGTAATTACAGAATACGTACCTTACGGGGACCTTCTTGGGTTCTTGAGGAAAAGCCGAGGACTCCAAGACAATTACTACAAAGACCCAGATATCAAACCTCAAAGTTCGTTGAGACCGAAGCAACTCTTTGGGTTTGCTTGGGATATTGCTAACGGGATGGAATTTTTGGCTTCAGAAAAGGTATGTATGTTATGGGATATAAACGATCATGGTGTCGACCTACTCGCTGCTAAACAGAAAAGCGAAAGCTTTGCGACTAGCATGTCATGGATCCGGGGAAAAGTGTCCTTTGCGCTGCTTAGATCATCATCATTTTTTTTAAGAGGCTCCCGAGTTTCTAGAAGAGTCAATTTAGAACTGTCGGACACTGACTTAGATGTTGAAAAAGGACTCGCAAACATTCAATACGGACATGCATCGAGAACGCTATTTTATTCCTTCTCTTAGTCAGAGTACGTTTACCTTTGAAAATATATTTTTGAAAAATCAAAATGAATTGTTTTTAATTGAAATGAAACGTTTTTAATTCGAATATTTTTTAATTGAAATGAATTTTTTAATCTAAAGTTTTAAAGTGTTTTGTTTTAATTGAAAGCAACTGTAAATAGCTACTTTGACGGAATAATTTTTTTAAAGCGAAATTTAATTGTTAATAGGATTATCTAGTTAGCTTTGTTATCAATGAAAGATTATTTTTACTTTCATATAAAAATACTCAGATTGAAACATTGAAGCGCCCTTTTCTCCGCACTTCGATTTTCAGTATCAACGTCTAGTACAGTAACAGTGTTTTTCAGCTTAGGAGAATTTTCCTCGACTGCGTACGCAGGTTTGTGTAAGTGTTGAATGGATGTCTAATACGCCAAATATACTGTAGAGCAGGAACCTTAAAAGAGCTGCCATTACAGAAGTTCTGTTCTCTTTTGTAGATACTGCATCGAGACCTTGCAGCTCGAAATGTTTTGGTAGGAGATGGACAAATCTGCAAAATTACAGATTTTGGCTTAGCTAGAGATGTGTTCCAGGAAGACCTGTACAGGCGAACTGCAACGGTAATGAGCGAGAGTTAAGCAGTTTATTGGATAGAATAATAAAGTGATAATGGAGGGACAGTTTGTGAAGAAACTACATTCCACTACGAGGTTCTACTAATTGTTTACTTGTTAGGGTGGGGAAGTGAGCCTATTGGCAATCTGCCGATTTGTTACATTTTTTTTCTTTGTTTGTTTTTTGTTTTTCATTTCGTGAAGGAAAACGTTAATTTATTTGTAAAATTGTGAACATAACTGCAAGTTAAAACAACCTATTAAAAAATAAACAAGGAAACTGTGCTGATCATTAGTTGAATTTCGTCTCATACGTAGGGTCGTCTTCCTGTTAAATGGACAGCATTTGAGTCATTGATGTACGGAATATGCACAACGATGAGTGATGTGTAAGTTACTTCCGTATTAACTTATTGAAAAGGCTTGCCATATGATAACTTTAGGCCCTGTGCAATTTAGGAGAGCTTTATACATTAAGCTCAGCTGGACGGCGCACATCGCGTTGACTTCCTTGTAATGGGACAACCAAAATTTGTAGATGCAACTGAAGACAAATATCCCACCTTTTTACCCTTGGCGGATTCACATGACAGCCTAGATTACTACATGAAAAAGGCATTACTATTAAAGACAATATAACATAAGGCTATTACTGCTGGTGCCTAACTTAGTCTTTTTTTCTTTCAGATGGAGTTATGGAATTGTTATGTATGAGATATTTACTATAGGTAAGAGAAAAAAATTAATTAATGTTGCGGTGCGCTCACAAAGCGGACCTTGCTCTGCAAGAAAGCGGGCCGGTCCCACCTTACCGGTATGTACCATAACTCGGAACATCCTAGCCACCGGGAATATCAAAAGCAAGTTCAATTAATTAAGTGAACGGTGAAATTTTTTCTTACCTTTCGCCTTTCCATGACAATTTTTATTGCTTATAATTGAGTTTCCCCTGTTTTGATTTGACTTTTTTTTTGATAGGAGGTGTTCCTTATCCTAAGGTAGACGGAAAAGCTCTCTCATCGTTACTTCAGGAAGGTTACAGAATGCCCAGGCCATCGCATTTAGATACAAAACTGTAAGTTAATGTTGGGCTTACTTTTGTTGTCTTCTTTGCAATTAAGTCATGCAAACACTTATTAGCAATGCAAAGCTGGCCAATTATACCTTTCGATAAGAACACAATAAGGAATGTCTATGTTCCCTGGCTTAATTTATCTCAATCTGAGGTAAGATCAAGTGAGCTCTGTTAAACTGCACCAATGTGTCGAAAGATGGAAAAAATCTGGCCACAGATCTGTAAGCATGTTGCCTGCGTAATAATGATAAAGGACATTAATGTCTGTCAATGATGATTCGTTCCTAGTATCTCTGGTATACATATTAAGTAATTTAACAGCTCGCTCTAAAAATTAGCAAAACCTCTTGTCTAAGAGTACACTCAGCAGGAGAGTAGACATTACTCGTACAGTCAGGGGCTTACCCAGGCATTTTTTCCGTTTAAGGCTAGGAAGTTAACCATGACAATAACAATAATGATGATGATGATTATTATTTTGTTTGACACGTTTATATGGTACAAATTTAACCGGGAGCCATATGGCTGGACCGAAAAAGAATGCCAAAATCAGTACTTTTAAAGGAAAGTTTGAGTTTCAGCATTAATTATTAACCACCAGTCAATCAAATGCAAGTCTTCTTGGCTTGTTTTTGTAAGAAAATCACTGATAACTCTTTCCCATGAGTCAATGTGCATCTCTTTACATGCGTGCAAGAGGGCTAAGGATGAGAGACGATCTGTTGACATCGAGGATCACATCTACGTTTTTACCCTCCTCGTGGCATTTAATGACGATCTTTGGCTTCGCAAGCTGTGGCTTCACAAGCGTCTCAATAAATTTATCATGAAACTATAAAAGCAAGCAGAAAAAAAGCAGACGGCCCAGGATAGACGTCCTAACCTAAGGAGTCTGGGAACTGCTCATAGAAAGCGAAACAGCGACACAACAGCGTTAGTTCAAGCAATTATAATAGATATTCAGAACGGAAAAAGTAAATTTCCCTCTGAGGACTGCAAAAGGTGCTGCCAACAGCAGACTCTTCCTTCTAGAATTGCCCATTTTTAGTTCGATCGAGAAAAATATTTTCAGAGTACTTGTCATGATAACCTGCACTTATCATTTTTGCTCAATTTCCTGTTAAGCCTGGGGTTAATAACTTAAATTAAGGCAGCTACGCCACTCACGGTTGTGTCTTATTTTCCTTAAATTATTCTCTGTCATATAGTTATGACGTCATGAAGTCCTGTTGGGATAAAAAACCTGAGGAACGACCTTCGTTTACAAAGCTCAGGAAAATGATGAAAGCGATGGGCGATGAGAAGGAGGTAACCTATTAGAAAAAGAGACTTCAAATTATGTAGGGTATCAATTCAAATTGGAAACATAGCCATACAACTTTAGATCAAATAAAAGGAAGGATTATCATTCGATGCAGATTTTTCTTAATTTTCATTAATCCGGGAGCCCACCACGTGACCTGATAATAACTACTTACAAATAATGGTCTGCTCTCGAGCAATGTCGTCTAACTGTGTTTGGCTGCAAATAATATTCTGCTCATGTGTAAATGAAATCACGCTTTTCTCCGCTCTTGGGTGAAAATGCAAACTTCCCGAAGAAATTTATCAAAAAAACAAACTCGGTGACTGAATGATAAAACAATTTTCGAACTCGGTTATCCGAAAATATCGTGATTTGTCAGTGTCTCACAGATCAATTATTTACCTCAGCCGAATAATTGATCTGCCCGCCATTGACAAAACAAAATATTTTGCTCAACCTCGTCCAACAACTGTTAATTATTTTGTATCCATCGTTAGGTATATCAGTATCCATTAGTCTCACTTGTTGACTTTTAATTCACAGTCTTACATCAACCTTGAAGACTACGACACAAAGCTTTACCAGAGCCTTGACGAGTTGGATGCTTAGCTTGCATCGAAATGAATTTAAAAGTGTAACTTCAGCCAAAGGAGACCAATAGGTCAGGTGTATCTATGAAGGAGTGGTTGCCATGGACGCCCCTCAAACCAAACTTCTGTCATATATTATCTCTAGGACGCTTATGCTTAGACGCATTTTTGCCAAATTTGTTGGCATGACATCGAGCCATTTTAGTGGCTTCATAATTAATAATTATTCCACAAGTGCGCGCTGGATATGAGTTGGCTATAATCATCTCATATCAAACAAGCGCGAGTGGAATAATTGTTTTATTAAAACGCCCACAAATATCGAGAATCCTTCCCGACTTTTGTAACAACAACCGATTTTCAACTTGCTTTATTTTGAGCGGACGCGTAGAGTTAGCATATTAGGAGAGCATGGTATAATGGCTCATATACCATGATGGCTAAGCCAATTAGAGCTCTAAAAATGCATTATCCAGTGATTCAGTTTTTAATAATTATACCGTTAGTCCATAGAAGTGACGTCGTAGGGCGCTTTCCATTCAACTAAAACTTTCGATAATTTGTAAGCAGCGGAAAATGGTACAAAGATTTCTTAAAAAATTTTCTAGAAAATTCCGGAAACCGGTTAAATGTCCGAAATGCAAATCATTCAACTTAAGGTTCTAGAAATTCCGGAAACAAAATTGAATGGAAAGAAAACTTCCCGGAAAAATTGTCGGAAATTTGGGTATACCTCCCAAGGTTGTCCTCGTTTTGGAAATTTTTGAAAATGCTGTTCCATTTTGCCGTGGAACAGACAAATGAAGAGGGAAACTTAACATCGATCGAGGCCTGTTTCAAGGTAGCAATTATTTTGAATGAATACATATAGTCGAACCTCTCCACAACAGGCACCTTCGGGACAAAAGAAGGTGGCCGTCGTGGAGAGGTGGCCGTTATGGGGAGGTAGGGATGCAACAAGATATGGCCAAATTTTTCTTAGGGAGTACAATAAGCTTATCGTGCTAACTTCATGCTTACTGTATCCTACAATGGTAAATCCAATCATGATCATAATTAATAAACAGAGAAAAAATATTCCCCAAAGTCTTGAATAATGTTTTGAATCAAAATATTAACGTGAAAAAACGAGCAAGGTTCGCAACATTCGCTATAAGTATCGCAAACAATTCCTGCTTACTACAGCAGCAAAAATGGATCAAAATCAAGGTATGATTGCCGTGATCAATCATCAACGCGCCATATAGATCAAATTTCATGACCATTCTTGGCTTTTTCATCACTTGCTGAAAAAACTGTCCGTTGACGAGAGGTTATTTCGGCAGTTGGGAACACGCTTTAGTGGCCATTGCCGTTGTATAGAGGTTTCAGCAAGAGCCAATGTATGGACTGTCAGCCGGGACAAAAGTTCGTGGCCGTTGTAGAGAGGTGGCCGTTAGTGGAGGTTCGACTGTAAACAATTATTGGATCGATTTGGCTTTCTGAAGTATACTCTACATTCCAATTCGTCGCGGCCGCTGAATAGAAGCACTGAAGACTCATTTATACAGCGTACTGGGCCTCGCCCTAAGGTAAATATACTCACCAATTCCGATCAGAAGACCTGTGTACAACTGTGTATTGTTTTAAACTCAAATCCAGGAACCTTTTCGGGTATTTGTGAGTATTTTACCTTAGGTCGAAGCTGAAACTGAATAAATGAGTCTTCAATGCTTCTATTCAACGAAGCATGTTCTCGACCTTTCAAATTCTTCGGATAATACTTAGCCTCATCATAAATGTTGTAACATTAACGAAGTCAAGTAAGTTGAAAGTTAAAGCACTAAATCTGAATGGGGAAACTTACGCCGCGATAATTTGCTGGCCCTAGTTATTCAAAAGGTGGATAACAAGATCCATCCGATAAATCTACAACCCTACGGGTACATAATGCAGTTCTTTTCACTAACATTTTCCAGCTGGATAGTAAATTATCCGGTGGATTGCGCAACCATACAAAATATGAGCAACCGGGGCCTGGAGGACAGCTTCATTTATGGTTGACTCGGCCAAAGTGCTTTGCATGCGTTAATTAGCTTTTAATGTCGGCGACAATAAAATACTAATAGAGAAGTTGCAGTTTCTGAAGCGACATTCAAGAATTCATTTGAAAAAACAATCTATGGCATTTTTCATAAGAGAATCTGCGTGCGTACATTATTCACGCAAGAGCTGTTGACGTACCAGAGGAAGTTAATTAACAAGTGAGTGCAGTTTGCCGAGTGAGATTCTCATACAACAACCAAGAATGCGTAAATAGCGTGTAGCACACTTTCAGTGCGGTATTGTGTTTATTATATGCTGTATACACTGAGAAATTCACCATTCTTCCATAGTCTCTAATTCAAATATGTCCAAACGTAATCCTCGGAGTAATGATTAAAAATTACAGCTACACATCGAGACATAATAAGGAAAACGATGAAATAAATCTTTCAAAAACAATTAGAAAAAAAAGTTATTATCAAGGCAAGACGAGAAGGGAACACAGGAATCAAAAGCAATCACAGCTTTATTCATTTATTTTTTCTAAACTTAAAGCTAAAAAAGGAGTGCAAAATTGGGGGCAAAAAATCCCCATGCAGCTTAGGGTCAAGTGACCGATCCCAGAATTATGGGATACAACCTACTAAGATGGAAAGAGCATAAAACAGTATTAGGTCTGCCACCTGTGACATTGAGATTTTATTGTGACTTAACGAACTATACTATCTGTTAAAATGCCGTCCGGCAATTCTTTTTAAAAACACAACACCCATAAAGCGTTAGACTTATGTGTCAATCTCCTCAAAAAGTAGGTTTTATGCTTTCGTTACCTCCTTTTTTTAGTTGTATACACAAACTTCACTTGAAGCAGGTCACGTGGCTATGAGCTGCAGGGAGCCTACCTTTCCTAGTTGTCATATTAAATATACGCATTTAAAATGTTAGCTCTTACAAGAACATACTTTGTTAAAGCATAAGCATTTTCATCTTTGTATAAAGCTCCATGGTGACACAAACTACTACGAAGCTCATCCGATTTTATAAGATAACTTATATATAACAGCCAGGGACCCAAATAGCAGTATCACTACAGCCCCAAGGATGGGATAGTAGACATTAGAGAGCTTTAGATTCTAAGACGAGAACGACTACGAGTGCGAGATTTTCTCAACAGTAAGTAGTGCTCTTGCGTGAGGCAGCGTCATTTTGGCGGGAAAACGTAGTAGCCGTCGTCATTCTACCGCGAGTTTTAGCGCGGAGAGTTTCGTAGTGGCGGGAACAAGTTATCAAATGTAAGAAGTTTTTGCAGTGTGCAATCGGGAGAGGTCATAAACCTCCTTCAATAACGACGACAGTGCTAGCTTTTCTGGTGAAAAAAAGTACAATGAAGAATTCCGGGGTGTCTATTTTATGACAATACGCGAAAAAACTTTAATCAAATCTCGTACTCGTAGTCGCTCTCGTCCTGGAATCTAAAGGTATCTTTCTTATTAACGGCTAGGTGCGCAAATTAATAAAACGTTTTCCTGGCTAAGTCAGATATCCACAGTCAACTAAGGTTTTCTAATAATAATAATTTATTTTTAAGAAGCTTGTTCCAGATACATCGATGTTTTTGTTATTTTCTGTTTTGCTTCTTTTCTTGTCTTTTCCTTTGCTTAGTTTTGCCTTTTTTCTTTGTAATTTACAAATCATAGACTTATAAGGTACCTCCCCTTTGGGCGAAAATATTTACTCTTCAATTTAAATGACAAAAATAATTTAAAATTCAATTTGGAAAATTTATTTTTATATTACTTTGTTTCTATCTAAATCACCCAATTTCTATACGCAACTCATGGACTTTATTTCGGTCCGCGATTTGGAAAGCTAACTACATTCGTACTAATTTACAGTTTAAATTGTCAAGACCCCACTTCCCTCTCTCTCTTTAAGAAGCTAAGGGTGTCAGTACAATACCGACTAGGCGTTAAGGTCGGGGTCCACTGTTTTGTTTTTGTTTAGAGGTACTAAGCCTTCGTAAGCAACATTAAGACCTGTCTCAACTCAACCAAGTAAGTGAGGTACTCAGGGGCAAACGGCTGCTACCATTCAGGCTTTTCTCATTGCTGGTTTCTGAATCATTACTTGAGACAGAGAACGTTTCTTGACACCAAACATAAGTCAACTCAGCCGAAAGGAATATGAGAGAAAGTTCTGCCTTTTACTGAGCATAAGTTGAGAGAGGTCTTTAATAAGGGCCCAAGGGTGCTCAGTACAATTTGACTGACATAAAAGTTTGGGTTACTCAGTCGTATAATGGTATGCGATTTACCCGTTGACTGGCTTGTGGATCTAAAACAACAGCAAATATGTATAGCGTGAGACATGGACCAGTGACTAATTATTACTAAATATTAACCGTTCGCTCGACGTTTTAGGTGGGATTTAGCTTAATGGCTGGTAAGCATCCCTAGTGAACTCTAGCTGCTAGTCCCATTCTTCCACATTTCCATACAAGTTTTCATCGTAGACGTTCATGTAAATAACCTCCTAAAAATAAGACAAAGAGGAAAAAATCCTTTCAGTTCCAATTTTTATATTCATACCTAAATAGGTTCCGGTACGAGACTGGCGAGTTTCCAAATTCTTCAATTGTTTTTGATATTGATTACCTAACGACTTTTCTAACAGGGATGTCAAATAAGTAAATTAAAAAATAATTAATTAATTAATGAAAGCACACACATATAAGTAACAAGCTGTAACTACCTTATGACATTGTTGTAATCTTTTGATCGTCTTGCCTATTGAATCAAAGGATGGTCGGCGCTCAGGCTCGCTTACCCAGCACTGGCACATAAGAGCATAGCTAGAGTGAAAAAATAAAAATAAATAAATAAGTTGGCACACTGCAATGAAGATGGATTGCAGTTTCCATTAACAAAAAACAATTAATATCGTTAAAGACTCTCGAGAAAGGGTGCCGGCAAACGCCCTTAATGGCAGTTTGTAGTAAAAAGATTGAACGTTTACACTGAAAGTGAAATGAGAACTAGCCTGCGAAAACATCCGTTTCTCCTCGCTCTTCTCCACTGGGGCCGTTTCGCGAGGAGGAACGTTTGCGACTCAGCGACAGAAAGTCCATACTGATGACGTAAAATCTGTCCGGAATCCGGTCAGAAGCGCTGATTGGTCGACGGAGTAGTTACGTTGTTTTAGCTATTGTTTACGAATGACAGACAAAAGACAAAAGGCCACAAAGGTCAAACGTAAACGCGAAGAATCTCGAGCAAAACAGTCAATATTTGTGGAATATACTCTTCTCTACAAGAAGCGTTTGAGTTTTGCTGAAGCTCGTTGGGAGATGAACACAACACTTTACCAAAATCGACAAGAAGACACGTAAAAACTGAACAAATTTGTATGACTACCGGACTATTTTGTAAACATTGATTTGCGTCATCAGTATGGATTTTCTGCCGCTGAGTCACAGACGTTCCTCCGCGCGAAACGTCCCCAGCGGCGAAGAGCGAGGAGAAAGGGATGTTTTCGCAGGCTAAATGAGAACATGAAATTGAAAATTAATTCAATCGCAAAAAATGGAGTACCTTGAAATAAATAAAAATAATTAACAATTGAAGCAATGACAGGCAGATAACAAAAATAAGCAACAAGTACAAAACAATAACAATCCAATCCAAATACTAATTATGGCAATAGAAACAACAACATTAAGCCCGTCGGCTGGCAATAAACAAATGAAGGTTGTACTTACATATCATCATCCAAGTGGGCAGGCTTCGGCATTCTGTAGTTCTCTTTTAGCAGATACGGAAGACGATGTGCCTGGAGATTGGGATATGGCTTACCACCTAAAAAGCATGCATACTTTATAAATGGGCTCTACAAAGGTTTTGAAAGTGTCGATTGAGTATTTCAAATGCCATCATCTCAATTCAGGTAATTGATTTCGATTATAAACGCCTATACCAAAAGAGTCTTTCTTTCGCTTGCCCGATAACTATCCAGGGAAAAGAAAAATTTGCGTGGAAAGAGTAGCAGGTGGATTTTTCCCAAAATGATTAGTAGGTTTTTTAAATAGAACTTTGGCAAGATTGGTCAGAATTTCGAAACAGCGTTATCCCTAGAACGGATCTATGCATCCTAATTCGTTGCTCACCAACTTAATCATTTGAACTGAAAGCTAACTCGGTTCATAAATACAGATTTGCATTGTTGACCATTTGACCCTATCCATAGGGGCTAAAGTGTCTAAAAGTGTAGAACTGAACATGTGAACGACAAATATAATCTTAAAACTACAACGGTTAAAAGAACGTGACATGCGATCTTACCTATCGTAAAAATTTCGTACAGCACAATGCCATAACTCCAGCTAAAAGAAAATACATGAAACAGACAAGGCAATTAACAAACACTTGAAGCCCTTAACACTGAGCCCTGTGCGCCAGCAAATTAATTTAAGAGCACAAAAGGAATTCTGACTGGTAGGCTTTGCTGTGTTTTCAGTAAACAGGCCCTTCAGGTGGTTCGATTTGATTTTCAGGGCCAATACCTTCCAACTTAGACCATGAACTCTGTCGGCATTCACAAGGACATGGAAAAACGATTACAGCAGTATGAAAATTTATTATGAGCAATGTTGTGTTAACATCGGAGTCGTCGTAGCAACGAAATGACGTCATTATCTATTTTACTTTCAGCCGTATTTGGAATTTTCTTTTTACACAATCACTTACGAGTACTTACGAGAGCTTGATCATACAATAACTGCCTCAATGTTCGTGATGTTTGAACAACATCTGTGAGAGCATTTTGGAGATGCTTTGTTGAAGTTTTTATGCCTCTAATTGTTATCACTTTATGAAAACTTTAGAAATGAGTTCTTAATTTAAAAAAAAAAAAAAAATGGAAAGTTTAAATTAATTTGGCGAGCATTTGGAGTATTAAACTGTGAAGAGAAAAACTTACACATCACTCGCTGAAGTACATAATCCGTAGAGTAGCGACTCCATTGCGGTCCACTTCACTGGCAAGCGGCTCTACGATATTCAATTTTTAGTACATTAAGTTACCGACAATTAATTAAAATACAATACCATTGTAATCGTTCAATGGAATGAAATATCGGTTTGTTAACAAGAAGTACGTTTATCGCAACACCTCGCGACGCTGTAAGAGGGCAGAAGTATGAATAAACTGAAACCAGCCAATATGTAAAAAAATATGGTTAAAACAAACAAACAAACAAACAAAGGGGAAGGGACTACCAATCGGAAGTCAAGATACATAAATATGTATGTTGTGGTTCAATTTTATCCTTAGTTTAAATTTAATTTCCTTTATTTGGGGGTATAATTATGCATGATTATGAGTTTGAAACAAAGGACAATTAAATTTAAACCAAGGATAAAATTGAACCACAACATATAGCCAACTCGTGTTTCTACCCCGCTGTGCGTTCCACGCACGTTCCACGCGCAAAGCGAGTTTCGACAAAATTCACAGTATTAACTCGCTCCCCGAGGAATAAGCAAAATATAAGAATCGCAAAATTTCTGATTGAACTGGGGTGGAGGTCAAGGGACATTATGCCGCTGTGTTTGCTTGAAATAATAGCGATTTGAACTTAATAAATGTGTTTGTAAGTTACTAAGGCCCTGTTTAGTATTTACATCAGTTGTTGTTGTTTTCATTTAATACTTACTGTTTATCGAAGGTTGTTTAAGTTTACTATGAGAACTTTGAACAATACTGTCCATTTAATTTTAAGTCAGCATTCTCAACCTACCTTGGTCCGTTTCTGATAAATATCAGTTTGTTGCACATCTCTCGCCATTCCAAAATCTGTTATTTTACAAATTTCTTCTTCACCTACAAGTACATTTCTTGCTGCTAAATCTCGGTGAATAATCTGCAGAGAAAAAGTACATTATACACTTAATGTCAGTTCCCGATGGAAACAGTTAGTTTTGTTTTCGCGAGAGTCCTGATGTTTCCCTCGACTTCGTCTCGGGAAACTCAGAGGACTCGAGGGAAAACAAAACTAACTGGTTTCCCGAGGGACCTGACATTTTAAAGCGTTTTGTTATATTTCTAGACTTTCACTTCAACAGCAACAAAAGAATAACCGGAGCGAACCAAAACAGTCGACTCGGTATTTATAACAACACAAATTTAATTGTCAAAACCACTGTATGAAGGATTAACAAAGTACTTTCGTTTTATTACCTGCATCATTTTCCTCCACTAGCTACTTTTTTTCTTCTGGGAATTTCTGGGATAACTTTAAAAATCGTTGCTTTTTAGCTTGAGGCTTTGTGTTTGTGTTGTTGTGTTCATTTGCCAAAAAGAAAACTGGCAGGACCTGGCAGTGTTTTCCCGCCTTCTGTCACGCGATATTCCACCATGCTTTGCTCACGTGCTGTAATGTAGCCCGAGCGGGGTACATTACTTAATGTATCACGATCGGGATACATTTGATTTTAGTCAAGCCACGTGACCAAGAATTAACCAATGGCAGTCCCTGTTTAGTTGAGTGAAATCTGTTCGGTCATCATAGGGCAACTTGAGTGTTTTCGAAATTACACGTGCTTCAGTTTTATTTCCCGAAAATTTTAGATGCAATTTAAAGCTTTACGACAGTAAGAATTTCTCTGATTCCTCTCTCTATCGCGTTTTCGAATCAGAAAATTTTAGGTTTTCTTTTACTTCGGAAAACAGCTTAACCTGGGGAGTGAAATGCGAAAAATTTGACTTTGGAAAATTGTCGGGAATTTGTAAGATAAGCTTCGAAAAACGGTCATCCGGAAATTTTTAGTCTTCCTCAAGCTATAGAAAATTCTAGGCAATTTTGCCTCTCCGAACAGATATTTAACAGAAAACAGTAACAAGGTGCCCTTGAAAAAAGTAAATAACCACCACAGGAAGGTACAGTAAGTTGCTGAAAGTTTAGAGGACGGAACAGACGGAGCCTACCTATGAAGCACCGAAGCTGATGAGAGGAATTACTAATCTGCCACATCGTTGCTAACCTACAGTACAGCCTACATAACATCCGCTCATCACAAATACTTGTTTTTGCATGCATGCACCGGCCTGGTTCGACAGAGCAACTCGTCAGCCTCATATCGAGCTAGACATGCCCCTGCGCCAACGTTGAAGCGAATAATGCAATAAAAATAACTGCATTTGACAATCACGACCTTTTAACCACGCAGTGAGTTTGGGTCAAACGTCCACATTTCGTAACTAAATTACATGCACATGGTGTTTATGCCGAATTTATATACACACACTCAGTGATCTTGGTGAATTAAGCAATCTGATTGGTTCGCTATTTCGGACTATTCCACAATATTCACCTCCTAGCGAGTAGCTAATGTGTCAGCTCGGGGTTTTTCCCATTTTTTAAGAGAAAGATCTTTAAAAGGGTTGACTTTTTTAAGGCAAGAGAAGACTTCGAAGGATTCAAAACGGCGTTTGTCTATTTACTGTAGGCGAGTTTTGTTCTCGATGGGTTGTTTACAACTCCCGTTTATTCGCGTAGAAGAGGCCGTTTCGTGGACTCATCGTTTCCTAATAAGAAAAATTTGGCCCAAAAGTCGAATTAAGTCTATGACAAACAAATTTGAAAGCAAATGTTCCCAGAAAATTCTACGTTTCAAGTAAATAGGAAAAAGAACGCGACATGAAGACAACGTCTTACCTCGTGCAAGCGAGCCGCTATTTTTGTCAGCACTTCACGCGAAGAACGACACAGCAAACGCTGAACAAATCTTATTGGCTATAAACTTGGCGAGCCAAAAGGGAACAACAAAGCTCTACTTTTCTTCTCGGGTAAGGCAACCATTCAAACTTTAAACGGTTCCATTTAAGCCATTACGCTGTTACGTTGTTTGCGAAGTGATAAACTTAATTTTGAAAAATCTACAATGATCTATTTATAAACTTTTGCCTGATTTGATCCGTCAATCAAATCGTACTTTTTAATGGTTTCTCCTCTGATTTTTTTGAGATCACTTTGTGTGTATATACTAAAACTATTATTCTTTTCAATCTTGGTGAATAGTGGCTTTAATTACAACAACCACTCTTCACCTCGAGTTTAAAGAAAAATGGTTAAATAGTTAAGGTTCTCATAACCAGTACAACAGAGCGCTTGGGTCTTTTGGTACCTTGTTGGCTGCAAGAAATGCCATGCCATCAGCTATTTCCCGCGCAAACCTAAGAAGCTGCTGTGATGTGAGTGAACTTGACGGTTTCACATCCGGGTCTTTGTAGTATTTGTCATCAAGGCCTCGGCTTCTTCTCAGGAATCCCAGGAGATCTCCGTAAGGTATGTATTCAAACAACACCATAATTGGGTCTAAAAAAAGAGCAGAGAAAGCGGGGATTTTCATCTTTTAAAGACGCGAGATGCACAAGGTCCATAACCAAGATGTTGGTAATGATGAGTTCATTATTATGTCTAATTTTAGTGAACGTATCTCAATCGGTTTTAAAGTTATAGAGCCACCACCGGTCGTAGGAAGATTATAAGGTTAGGATACCGGGATTTAGATGCTGTAAGGATGCACTCTTAGTAGCATAAATATGTTGCATAGATACAAGCATAGCTTGAAATTTGATGATTTTTTATGTGGACTGCGTGCATGATCATAAAAATTGGCAGGTATTGGATTCAATAATGTCACAAATCTTGAAAAGAATGAAGACTTGTCATATAATGACTATCCGATACAAAAGAGGAGAAACCTATCCATACGGACACAGTTTTCTTTCTTTTCCCTTGGTCTCAAAGATATGGAAAGATCCAACTGAAGCAACACGGACACCTCTGTGATGGGCATGTGGCCTTGCCTCTTTGCTGTCTGCATTTAAGAGGTTTGACAGTTTCTTCATAGCTTACACGAAAGACACAATAATTGATTGAAAGTCATTGGACGATGTTCCGAGATTGAGATGTGTCAATCAAGGGGCCGCAACTCGCCTTCCATAAAATAACGCACTTTTAAATCAGTAATAATATCGGGAAAAAAGAGAAAATTTTACCAGAGAGTGTAACGGCACCCATAAGCCTTATGACGTTAGGATGGGGCTGCAGCTGCTTCATCAGTTCATACTCAGCCAAGAGATCTTTCTTGTTAGAGTCCGGGGCTTTTTCTGCCTCGAAGGAGAAAATTAAGACGGAATTCGTCAGGAAATTAAGTAATTTCAATTTTCAGTGGACAAAAACCTTAATTGCACCAGAGTAATTTAAACAATATCGCAATGCTGTTTACATTTTTCAAGGGCTGTAGATATAATTAGTTACCTGTAATAACACCAAAGACTATTTCTTATGGAAGCCTGAGAAAATAAATGTCAAATTTCACAAGAAATTATGAAAACACAGGTAGAATTCTGAAAAATTAATGTGTATAGTGTCATTTCGTGCAATTTGACATTTCTTTTCTCAGACTCCCATGAGAAATTTTCTTTGGTATTATTACAGATAACTAATTACATTTATAGCTCTTGAAAAATGTAAAAAAGAATGCGATATTGTTTAACTTATTCTGTTTCAAGGTTTTTGTCCACTGAAAAGTAAAACTACTCAATTTCCTGGTGGATTCCGTCTTAAAGTGTAAGTAATAATAATTATAATCTCATGTGGCAGAGTTTGCTCTTTTGTTCTCCGTATGGCTCGCCTCTGCGATTCAAGCACTACGACGTTTTACAACTTTTCACTAACATGGAGGAAAAAGGAAGCACACTCCTCGGCTAAAGCAGTACGATTGAATCACACTGTTACGATTTCAGCGCTTCCAAATCATTCTCAAAGTGAAAACAAAGATTATAAACTTTTGACATGGACACTACTGAAAAGAGCGCATTAGAATTAGTTAAACTTGCCAAGTTGAAAGTGAAACGTCTTAAGAGAGCAAAGATATAGCTCCACAAAGTTGCTAAATTTTACCCACGTTGGTATGGTTGGGGTCAAGTTTGTGCCCTTACCATATAGACGCCTGTAAAATGTCGCGACTTTTAAACCTTTAAGCTCTAAGAGTGATCAGCATCAAATTTCTCCTTGTAGAACAGAGTGGTCATGAGAATCACGGACATGATCACTCAAGATGAATTTGCTTAATATTTTATCAAATACTCTCCCTACTTCTGTAGGAAATAAATAGGGGCAACAAATGAGAATTCAAATTTTGATTTCAGGGTGAGAAGGGTTAAGAAGATATATCTTCGTTAGTTTTCAACAAATCACTTTCCAGCGGAATCGATGGATTTTCCTTAATTTGTCCATGTAAAAAGTTACAAAAAAAAGGGGGTGGAAAGATTAATTAGAGTATGTGGAATATGATTTCATTCCTGAATAGGACTGATGTTGACAGCGACTGACATGGTCACGATCAGATCTAGAGCCAAAGTGAGCTGTGTCTCTTCAGATGGGTCGGTTTAATGCCATCAACTGACAGGGTACAACTCAATTTGGTTCTGAAGATGAATACCGCACAGGTTGTAACGCCAGTCATTATCAATGACAATTATATTCAGGCCTACACTCACCCGAACGATTACTTCTAAGATGAACACAGGGTTCAAACCACTAAAAGAAAAGATGTTAACTTAATATACCTTTTGGAATTTTCACTGCCACGGTCCCAAGTCCTTCAGCGAACGCTTTAGCCACGACACAGAATGCACCTTTGCCTACATATTTCTGAATATGAACTTTGTCCCGTTGAAATTCCCAGCCAGATGATTTTTCATCTTCGATAGAGGACGAGGCATTAGTGTATATGACGAGTGATGAGGGGTTTGGTGCCGCAAGCTCACTCTCTCTTGGTCGAGTTCCGTTTCGTTTCGGAATTCTTGGAGGAGGCACCTGTTGTCAATGGAAGTTTTAGTTCTTCGATTTGGAGGATACCGAAAAGTAAGGTACCTGAATGCACAAGGTCCATAACCAAGATGTTGGTAATGATGAGTTCATTATTATGTCTAATTTTAGTGAACGTATCTCAATCGGTTTTAAAGTTATAGAGCCACCACCGGTCGTAGGAAGATTATAAGGTTAGGACACCGGGATTTAGATGCTGTAAGGATGCACTCTTAGTAGCATAAATATGTTGCATAGATACAAGCATAGCTTGAAATTTGATGATTTTTTATGTGGACTGCGTGCATGATCAAAAAAAATTGGCAGGTATTGGATTCAATAATGTCACAAATTTTGAAAAGAATGACGACTTGTCATATAATGACTATCCGATACAAAAGAGGAGAAACCTATCCATACGGACACAGTTTTCTTTCTTTTCCCTTGGTCTCAAAGACATGGAAAGATCCAACTGAAGCAACACGGACACCTCTGTAATGGGCATGTGGCCTTGCCTCTTTACTGTCTGCATTTAAGAGGTTTGACAGTTTCTTCATAGCTTACACGAAAGACACAATATTTGATTGAAAGTCATTGGACGATGTTCGGAGATTGAGATGTGTCAATCAAGGGGCCGCAACTCGCCTTCCATAAAATAACGCACTTTTAAATCAGTAATAATATCGGGAAAAAAGAGAAAATTTTACCAGAGAGTGTAACGGCACCCATAAGCCTTATGACGTTAGGATGGGGCTGCAGCTGCTTCATCAGTTCATACTCAGCCAAGAGATCTTTCTTGTTAGAGTCCGGGGCTTTTTCTGCCTCGAAGGAGAAAATTAAGACGGAATTCGTCAGGAAATTAAGTAATTTCAATTTTCAGTGGACAAAAACCTTAATTGCACCAGAGTAATTTAAACAATATCGCAATGCTGTTTACATTTTTCAAGGGCTGTAGATATAATTAGTTACCTGTAATAACACCAAAGACTATTTCTTATGGAAGCCTGAGAAAATAAATGTCAAATTTCACAAGAAATTATGAAAACACAGGTAGAATTCTGAAAAATTAATGTGTATAGTGTCATTTCGTGCAATTTGACATTTCTTTTCTCAGACTCCCATGAGAAATTTTCTTTGGTATTATTACAGATAACTAATTACATTTATAGCTCTTGAAAAATGTAAAAAAGAATGCGATATTGTTTAACTTATTCTGTTTCAAGGTTTTTGTCCACTGAAAAGTAAAACTACTCAATTTCCTGGTGGATTCCGTCTTAAAGTGTAAGTAATAATAATTATAATCTCATGTGGCAGAGTTTGCTCTTTTGTTCTCCGTATGGCTCGCCTCTGCGATTCAAGCACTACGACGTTTTACAACTTTTCACTAACATGGAGGAAAAAGGAAGCACACTCCTCGGCTAAAGCAGTACGATTGAATCACACTGTTACGATTTCAGCGCTTCCAAATCATTCTCAAAGTGAAAACAAAGATTATAAACTTTTGACATGGACCAGTTAGGGGAAATCCGTCGACACTAATGGAAAGAGCGCATTAGAATTAGTTAAACTTGCCAAGTTGAAAGTGAAACGTCTTAAGAGAGCAAAGATATAGCTCCACAAAGTTGCTAAATTTTACCGACGTTGGTATGGTTGGGGTCAAGTTTGTGCCCTTACCATATAGACGTCTGTAAAATGTCGCGACTTTTAAACCTTTAAGCTCTAAGAGTGATCAGCATCAAATTTCTCCTTGTAGAACAGAGTGGTCATGAGAATCACGGACATGATCACTCAAGATGAATTTGCTTAATATTTTATCAAATACTCTCCCTACTTCTGTAGGAAATAAATAGGGGCAACAAATGAGAATTCAAATTTTGATTTCAGGGTGAGAAGGGTTAAGAAGATATATCTTCGTTAGTTTTCAACAAATCACTTTCCAGCGGAATCGATGGATTTTCCTTAATTTGTCCATGTAAAAAGTTACAAAAAAAAGGGGGTGGAAAGATTAATTAGAGTATGTGGAATATGATTTCATTCCTGAATAGGACTGATGTTGACAGCGACTGACATGGTCACGATCAGATCTAGAGCCAAAGTGAGCTGTGTCTCTTCAGATGGGTCGGTTTAATGCCATCAACTGACAGGGTACAACTCAATTTGGTTCTGAAGATGAATACCGCACAGGTTGTAACGCCAGTCATTATCAATGACAATTATATTCAGGCCTACACTCACCCGAACGATTACTTCTAAGATGAACACAGGGTTCAAACCACTAAAAGAAAAGATGTTAACTTAATATACCTTTTGGAATTTTCACTGCCACGGTCCCAAGTCCTTCAGCGAACGCTTTAGCCACGACACAGAATGCACCTTTGCCTACATATTTCTGAATATGAACTTTGTCCCGTTGAAATTCCCAGCCAGATGATTTTTCATCTTCGATAGAGGACGAGGCATTAGTGTATATGACGAGTGATGAGGGGTTTGGTGCCGCAAGCTCACTCTCTCTTGGTCGAGTTCCGTTTCGTTTCGGAATTCTTGGAGGAGGCACCTGTTGTCAATGGAAGTTTTAGTTCTTCGATTTGGAGGATACCGAAAAGTAAGGTACCTGGATACAGTCAACGTCTTGTGGAGGACAGGAAACCAAGGAAACTCAGAAGAATATTAACAGGCCCTAGCTACAATCATGGAAAAAGGTCTCAAAACAAATTTGCAATTGTGGCGCCTTCTTTTAAACTAATCATACCCATTTCCTCCTCTCCCCCTCCACTTCACATGTAAGGATGAACCCGTGTATCTTAAACTTTGTATAGGGTGGGGGAGAGGGTTAACTGCAAGGCATTTTCGGAAAAAAAAAAAAGTACTCTTGAAAAATACATGTTGTTAAGATTATTGTATGACTATCCCAAGGTAAGCAGCCCAGGTGATGCATTTGACTTGAAAATTTGTTTTCCGATCAATGTCCCCATCTCAGTCCATGGTTCCAACGCCCCCTAACGCAGAGCATTGATGGGTGTATAATATCTGAATCCGACACGAGTGCTCTTCATATTGCCTAGGCCTTAGTCTTAGTACCCAGGGAACCCTGGAAACGAGGTTGCAACTGATATGCACTAGAATGAAGTAAATAAATGCTCAAAAATTGCGAACACGGGCACTGTACAAGGAAACCTGGCTGAATCTGAATCAAACTTCATAAACTGTAACAGAACTTATACGTAATTCAAAAGATAATTTATTTCTGAAAAAAAAAAATCAAATAAATAAATAAACACACAATGTCCTGGAAATTATCAGAAGTAACTGCCTAAACGCTGTAATGGTACATCAACCACAATGCAATGAAAAAAAAAGTTCCAGAGAGAGGTAGTATCGTGAATGTGTCAAGCAAAAAAATTGAAAGGAGAATAATTTTCCATGCGCACACTCAGTTACTATATATATTGGTTAAAGCTATGACAACAAAACGTCCCTACCGCGTTGTAAGTGTTGTGTTGCATAGTGCTTGGAGAGGCCGCAGACGTCTTTGCCGAGAAACTGCGTAAAAAAAATGTAACAAAATTTTAGAGACACGTGAAACGGACGCACCCTTTCAATGCTAAGATAGACAAACACTACTCACTTGGCCTGAAGCTCGCGCAAATCAACTAGCGGTTGCATTGCTTGAGCTGAAGAAGGAATAAATAATACAAATGAAAAAGTCAACAAAGTTGATATGACTCTCGTTTAATTCCAGTTGAGGCTTGAAAAAAGTCACCCATTAGTGACAAGCTAGAACTAACCTTTTACAAGTTCTTATACACATAACTGAGACAAAGCAATGGTGTACCAAATTTTCCTTCCGTCAAAAAAAAAAAAAAAGACTTGTCCCATGATTTCTTTTATTGATGAAAACAGCCGAGGGCCAAAACCTTAGTAAGCCTAATAAACACAGATTGAGGCAGGCTTTTGAAAAAGGATGCTTGCCTTATACCAGCCACAAGGTTTCTGTCGGGGGGTTGACGAGCTAGACTCGGTGCACTTGAAACCAAGAAGACCGCACCGGTAAGGGTAGGTGCTCGATCCCGACGATCTTACTGAAAAATAAGGGACTGTGAACAGTCTAGTCAGAACGGGTATTAGTTTGATCCCTCCCTTCCGCTATAATTTCAGTTCGACGATCTTACAATACGAGGCGCAGAGGTTTTCCAGCCATTTTGCCTTGATGAACTTGAGCTCAAGTCTGTCACGCTAGTATGCCAATTGCATAGAGAGATAAGCACGAACGTTACCTCACACATTAGAGCGGCCGGTCCTAAACATTAGATAAAAGCCTGCTGAAATACATTGGAAGCACGCTTACCTCTCCTGCGTCTCCTTCTTGTCTTAAAACAGAAGGCCGCTATGACGATAATGAGCAGAAATCCGACGCCACCGGTGATGGCAGAGATCAATACTACTGGTATTTCCGTGTGGTCTATTTCTGAAAGAGTACAACTGATCAACAAACGATCGAGAGTCTTTCCTTTTTTTATCCCTTCCAATGTTTACAGCAATACTTAATACATAATACATAGCAAAATTTATGTCCCTTGCTAAGTACAAATTGTATAAAAGCTGTAAATAGAATAAGAAGGGAAAACAAAGCTACGAGCAAACTCTTATTCAGGAGATTCAAGAGGCGTGAAAATACACGTCTAATTTTTGATTACTCTGTTGATCAGCGAGTGCTAGCTCACGATGATCATTAAGGCAAAAAAGTCAAATTCTAGAATAAATTATTTTTAATTTCAAGTAGGCGAGTCCGTCGTAGTTCAGTATCAGTTCGGTATTTTTTGGACTTTTAGTATCCAGATACCTTACCAGTCGTCGCAGTGTGTGTCGATAAAGACGGTGTTGGCTCTAGATAGAAAAGGACAAGTCTTAGTTAGCTGGTAACATATTCATATTTAGGTACCTAAACATCAATCAATCACAATGCCAGTTTTCTTTGCTCGCTATGTGAAATTCCAACTTTACTAATGCTAAAGGCAATCATAAACCTTTATCAGTTAAAATACCCCCACAAATGCGACCAGCGTGCGTTGGGTCGGAATACGCTTCTAGTGACCAGGTAGCAAGACTAATGAGACTTTTTTTAGGAGAGGGAATAGTGAGCGTCTTTACATTTATAGGACAAAATAATGTGGTTGCAAATACTTGGTGGAGGTATCAACGGTTCCATTGTACACGAATTCCATATATGCTCGAGTTCTAGCCTCAAAAGTTGTAAATATATGAATGAAAATGCAATCTCAACACGAAGAAGCATCACTAAAGCATAGGAAAGGCCAAACATACGAACAAATTAAACTAGCAAAAAAAAAAAAGAATATTTCTTTTTACTTGTTTTAACCCTTTAAGTCCCAATAGTAACCAACATCAATTTTCTCCTAACAATATCCATACATTGTCAAGAGATTAGGTTATGAGAATTAATAAAATGATCACTTAAGAGAAAATGCTTTGATCTTTTATCAACTTCTCTTAACTTATCCTTACAAGGAAATGTATAGAGACCAGTTTGAAGAATTTGTATATGGAATGAATATTGGGGCTTAAAGGGTTAAAAGAGTTGATTCACTACTAACTGGAATGCAGAATGCTTTGCGGCTTTCAAAGTAATTTGAGATATAATAGCTCCTGCGACCACCATTTTGTGCTATTGAGGAGTATAAATAATACTCTGTGCATGTACATATTGGATTAAAATTGCTTTCACGATAATGTCTGCTAATTTTTAAAAAAAGAGTTTACCACTTTCAAAAAGTTTCGGGGAAATCCGCTTGGAAGGTAAATGGGTCCCCTACTCTTTACAAACAGTGTCTGGGTTCTTTAACTATCATTATGCCAAATTTCATGCTTTTAACAGAAAGTGAACAATTCAAACAGATATCTGCTCTACTATGAAAGGAATTTTCGGTTAGATCAAATTCCCCACCTTATACCTTCATGCTATATTTTTTTGTGNTATCCTTACAAGGAAATGTATAGAGACCAGTTTGAAGAATTTGTATATGGAATGAATATTGGGGCTTAAAGGGTTAAAAGAGTTGATTCACTACTAACTGGAATGCAGAATGCTTTGCGGCTTTCAAAGTAATTTGAGATATAATAGCTCCTGCGACCACCATTTTGTGCTATTGAGGAGTATAAATAATACTCTGTGCATGTACATATTGGATTAAAATTGCTTTCACGATAATGTCTGCTAATTTTTAAAAAAAGAGTTTACCACTTTCAAAAAGTTTCGGGGAAATCCGCTTGGAAGGTAAATGGGTCCCCTACTCTTTACAAACAGTGTCTGGGTTCTTTAACTATCATTATGCCAAATTTCATGCTTTTAACAGAAAGTGAACAATTCAAACAGATATCTGCTCTACTATGAAAGGAATTTTCGGTTAGATCAAATTCCCCACCTTATACCTTCATGCTATATTTTTTTGTGCAGAGGGATTGGGGGAAAGGGGTGCATTGTGGAAAATCCCAGTTAAAAATACTGCTGATCGTTTCTTGTGCTAAATGCTAAATGCTAAATTGCCTATTTTTATGCATAACGGTATAGAGGCTTAAAAAAGCGCAGTCGGCAGACCAATTAACCTCTATTATGGGGGTCCTATTTTAAGAACTAAACAGCTTTATTATTGTAATACTTCTCCCTACCTGGTGGAGTAGTGAAATTTTTTGATAAACTCTTTGCCCCCTTTCCTTGATCGTTTTCTGCCACTACAGAGAAATTATAGGACTTGTCCCACTTCAGCGTAAAATTGTGGTTAGTAAAATTGCCCACATCTTTTTCACTGGAATTGCCGCCTGCTTCCACAATCCAAACCCAATAACGAAAGATAGGTCTGCCTCTTTCATCTGGTTGGCTCCAATATAGGACAAAGGAACGGTTGTTTAAATGTCCTTGCTTGTTTTTTATTTCTGGACGACCTGGAGGAAAGGCTACACGAACAAAGAAACAGTGTAGAAAAAGGAAATTAAGGTTCCTTGCCTACTTTTAAAATAGGGACACTCCACGAGACACTTTTTTTAAAATCCATTTTTACCTGTTCTATTAACATGCACTTTGAAGGAGTCATTTCCAAGGATATTTCTCGATAAACAAGTGTAGATGCCAAAATCTGACTCACTTTGAGGCTTAATATTTCCAGTTGTACTCCCGTTGAATAGCAACCGATCATCTTTCAACCAAATGATTTCTGGTTGTGGATTTCCTGTTGCCTGACAAGTCAATATCGACGAGTGATTAAGCCACGAATCGATTTTCTTGTCACGACCAGTCTTGTTTATCATAGGTCTATCTGGAAAAGTAAGGTAAAAGAAGATTCCTGTCGTTTTTTTTTTTTTTTGGTCGTTAGTGATCAGTGGCACCCCTTATTTCATTTTACTTATTTATACTTTTTATTGATCACGGGTATCAAGAGGAGCCCGCAATCCTAGTCTTTACGTTGCCATCACGCGTATTTGTTTGGACTTCGACTAAGAATAAACGGAATGCACAGAACGCAGACTAATCACGCGCGTTTGGACCATCAGTCACTCGTAATATGATCCCGCGGGTTCACGCAAAGCACAGCGATGGAGCAAGGGTGTTTTGACGCCGCGCCCCGTAACCTTTGGTTATTACTAGTTAATGTTTTTGCCGTCGACAGGTTGATATTAAGAATGTTCGACACGAAGGTAGCTAGCAAAAGTTTTAACTTCCACTAAGAATGAATGAAATGCATAGAACGCAATCTGATCATGCACGTTTTTGGCCTTCAATATATCAACAGCCTTAGAGCAAGAGTTTTTTGGCCTTCAACCAGCCGCCCGAAACTCGGCCTTAATCACTAACCTGATTACCAACTGTAGTGTATTCATTTATTCTTATTCTTATTTATTTTTATTTATATATTTATTTTTGCCGAAGAGCCATTTTTAGACAGCTGATCCCATTCCGCCTCGCAGATCGTTAAGACCAAACGTAACGGTTTGGTGTGATTAACTGAGTTGAAAAAGCCAATGTACAACAATATTACAAGGTATAAGAGCTGACACTTAAAGCGCTAGCGATCATTTTTTTACAATAACTGAATTATATCTCGCACGCTGATTGGCTAATTTTCATTATCAATAAGAGGGCAGACACATAAAATTTTAATTGGTGCAAGACGCGGTCATTTGCCGAACGAATGCCAAACTTCGGTGTTTTTGCTTAGTTCAGTCATCGGGAGCTAAAATGGTCGGACATCTACGCATATCAATGAGCCATTGAGGCGGACTAATCAGGCAATGTAGAAGACGCACTTTCTGTTCTCTGAGAAAAATAGCCAGATAGCTCTGATGCAAGACTGGCATCTGTTTGGATTCNAACGGAATGCACAGAACGCAGACTAATCACGCGCGTTTGGACCATCAGTCACTCGTAATATGATCCCGCGGGTTCACGCAAAGCACAGCGATGGAGCAAGGGTGTTTTGACGCCGCGCCCCGTAACCTTTGGTTATTACTAGTTAATGTTTTTGCCGTCGACAGGTTGATATTAAGAATGTTCGACACGAAGGTAGCTAGCAAAAGTTTTAACTTCCACTAAGAATGAATGAAATGCATAGAACGCAATCTGATCATGCACGTTTTTGGCCTTCAATATATCAACAGCCTTAGAGCAAGAGTTTTTTGGCCTTCAACCAGCCGCCCGAAACTCGGCCTTAATCACTAACCTGATTACCAACTGTAGTGTATTCATTTATTCTTATTCTTATTTATTTTTATTTATATATTTATTTTTGCCGAAGGGCCATTTTTAGACAGCTGATCCCATTCGGCCTCGCAGATCGTTAAGACCAAACGTAACGGTTTGGTGTGATTAACTGAGTTAAAAAAGCCAAGGTACAACAATATTACAAGGTATAAGAGCTGACACTTAAAGCGCTAGCGATCATTTTTTTACAATAACTGAATTATATCTCGAACGCTGATTGGCTAATTTTCATTATCAATAAGAGGGCAGACACATAAAATTTTAATTGGTGCAAGACGCGGTCATTTGCCGAACGAATGCCAAACTTCGGTGTTTTTGCTTAGTTCAGTCATCGGGAGCTAAAATGGTCGGACATCTACGCATATCAATGAGCCATTGAGGCGGACTAATCAGGCAATGTAGAAGACGCATTTTCTGTTCTCTGAGAAAAATAGCCAGATAGCTCTGATGCAAGACTGGCATCTGTTTGGATTCTCTGCAAAAAGCTTAAGGAAAAGAAACTAAACACGTCACTTAGTTTCCAAAAGCGGAGACGACTTGCTCGAAGTTGTACAGTTTCAAAACTGCGCTTTAGAAAAGCTTTTAATATGCGTATAAAGCTTTAAAATTAGCTTACAGATGATCTCATTCTTGTTTGAAGTTTGCGAAACAATGTCATTCCTAATTTATGCAGGACAGCGAAGTGACTCAACCTGTCAAATTTTTAGCCAATGAAACCCCGTTACTTGTCATACATACATACATACTTTATTGTTACCTCCCAAAGGGGCTTTTCAGGAACAATGATTATTTAAGAGCATTAGTTTTGAACGGCCTGCAATTTTCTAACATTTTTATTTGTGATATTTGCCCAAACATTCGAACAGTAGTACATTTTGCTGAAGACAGAGGCATGTATTACGGTTAACAACCTATTTTTGTCTAAGCAATGATTGACCCGGTTAATTTGCGCTAGGCGTGCTATACATTCCGACACTGTGGTCGTTATATGGTTATCAAATGCTAAGTATGGATCCAAATTACGCCAAGATCTCTCGGTGATTGCCCTGGGGAAATGTCAGTCCTTTCCTAATAAAGACAAATGAAATTATCGGAGCTTAGAAGTCACCTTTCGGATCTTCATTCATTTCTTGGACAATCCGTTGGGAGTCGTGTAAATTAAAAGAAATAAACAGTTTTGTATCGTCTACATAACATTCTGTAGAGCAATGCCTAGGAGCTTCTGGCAGATCATTTACGTACATGCTAAATAATAGGGGGTTTAGAATACTGCCTTGAGGAACGCCACATTCAACTGGAAGAGGATCGGATGGGCGATCCCGCACCTATTTGAAAGATTGTTTGTGATTAGCTGGGAAAATAGTAGGGATTGTCACATAACAATGCCCCTATCCCTGATAACAATGGGAGTAGTGATTAAAGGGAGAGAGGTTTAGAACAGAGTGCAGATTAAAGGGAAAGAGGTTTAGAACGGTGCAGGTCTACTGGATCAGAAACGGAACTATGAATTCGTACATCTTGATATCTATTTTTAGCTGTTAAACCATTTTAGCGCGCTGGTTGAGGCGCTGACGCTGCGTATTTTACGACTAACAGTATTTGGTGGTCAACGCTGTCGAAGGCTTTACTCATACCTAAAAGTACACAGGCAGTCTATTTCTTATCATCAATTCCTTTGAGAAATGCATCAGTTGCGTGAATTAAAGATGTGTCAGTAGAGAACCATTTTTTGTTGCCCCTTTGTTTTGTGGTAAGCCTTTCCTTGGTTGTCAAATAGGTGACAAACTTATTATAAGCCACTCTCTCTCGCAAACCTTTGACAATGCAGGTAACAGGGAAATCCGTCTGTTATTGTTAGGAAGTTCGTGGTTGCCTTATTTGGGAATAGGTGTCATTTTGGCAGTTTTCCAGACCTCAGGGAATGTTGAAGCTAAGAGATAAGCATTGCTGATTGACGTAATAAAAGGGAGTGCGATCAACAGGCTGTCCTTAACGACTCAATTTGGCACATTGTCAATCCCAGGGGCCTTATTAGAAGGCATTGCGTTTGTGACGTGCGCGACTTGTTTACAATCAGCATTATTAAATGTAAATTGCTCACTAGTAGGAAAACATTTAGGAGTAAAAGCGTTTGCATGAAGAACGAAGTACCCAAACAATTACTATCCGTCGTTCTCGGACCATCTGAAAGACTGACATGGCGCTCCGTACTGTATGTATTTAACGCAAATCAAGTCTCGAACAATTTCTTTGTTTCTCTTCCTCTTCTCCTTCTTGAAGCAGCCTTATTCGTGGGCCGTATCTACGGATGCTCTTATTCTCTAAACAACCTAAGCATGGAAAAAAGTTTATAACGCCTTTTATTTGATTAAAGGGCAACTCTCGCATAGGACAACATTTTTCGGAAAAACCTTACAAATGTTTTTCTCATTGAAATACCACCAAAAAATACATCTTCAGCGATCTATTTGACTCAGAGATCGAGATTCAAAGTGTTAAATTTGCCGCTTACTCGAACTTCTGCCATTAACGCTTCGATTTTGCCTATCACGTGACGTAACGTCACAGGTGTGGAGCAACAGATGATCATGAATATGGCTGACTGTAGTTCTTCAAGTGATAGCGCTACCTCTTTGTCCGATTATTCGGATGTAGAAGAACTTTTAGAATGCCAAGCATAGGACAGCCCTTCACGGGAATTCAACCCCGGCGTTTGAGCCACCTGGAACATCGTCCGAAGCTGATGAAGTTTGTGCGTCGCCAGAAAACATCGCGCCTGCCACTCTCCCGCAGCGATCTCGATAGTGAAGAATGGTGAGTGCCTAGATGGTTTTGAACAATTCTTGTGTACAATGCGCTCCGCATATCGCTTTATTTCATCAATGCTATGAATGCTTCAAATTGTAAAATAAAAAGGACTAATTAAACACGCATTTTTCTTGTATACTGAGTGTTTATAATTTTAGATCATTGTTTTCACATGTACAAGTAGTACAGTTGTTTTCCTACAAGTCGTTCACTTACTTTTACTGTCTTGCTCTGTCAATGAATTTGGTTCAGAAGTTATTATTCTAGCTGCTGCGTATCCTGATGTTATTATGAAGTGAATTTAAAGTTGGGATGAGATACACTTCCATACCCATGTGAACTAACTGCTTTCATAAAACGTTTCTGCTCCCCAGTATATGATATTCGAGGCTGGGACATGTCGTATTCACTTAAGTTTTTGTCCGGAGCATAACAATGGTGGTGTTAACTACAATAATATTGCATTTGATGAGATATAACTGTAGGAACTTCTATACCTAATACAACCAGTATTGAAAATGTGTATATATTTGAAACTATTTTGTGGTTATGGGCAGGAGATAATCAGTGATGAAGCCATAAACCTTAGAGAGTGAATAAGCTCAAAATTGAAATAATTGATTAAATTGAAATAATTGGGTGCAAAATGAAAAGGTCAATATTCAACACCTGTTTTGTTACCCTTCATTAACCGACGTTCAGTATTCATGAGTAAAGAAAATAACTACTATTGGATGTTTACAAGGTTATTGTATGGCTACTGCCAGACAATGTGATGACAGGAGGAAATTATCTACTTCCAGGAGGTGGTTGTTGTAAAAAGTAAATAGTTGGAGGCATTTGAAGTTGAAAATATGGAGGAGCCTCCAACGTGCATTGTGGAACACCCAGGATTCCAGGCAGTTTGCCTAATCACTGGGTGTTACAAGCTGCATGGCAATACAAGCAGCAGTATGGTGCCTCGGCATATGAAGAATCAGATAAAAAAAAGCAGGCACATTGCCTATAGGCAATTGGTAAGGTGATACTGGGGCTCCCTTAGCAGGGACATAGGAGTTACATTACTGTCCTTGATTCCTGTGCAGTTAAGTGCATACGACCTCATTTCCCGGAGCCTGAAAGGTTGGAGGATGAGATGGAGTTCACAGGATTCCATTGTGCAGATGAATAAATATATGACATATTGCAAATAGCCCTACTGTATATAAAATACAGTGCAATTTTCCTACTCACCACTGGAAGACTGGGCTAGAGCAACTTTGTTGCCATTGAAATGGTTGCTACCCAGCAAACAAAATGCTTCTAACACAAATATGCAGCATGGATATGTCAATAATAATTGTTAGAACTAAAAAATCTATAAGACAGGTGTGATTGTTGACTGGGAAAAAATGTACAAGTTGAAACTTTATTTCTTAATAATAAAATGATATTTTATTGTTCATTGCTGTATTTCTTTAGGTTGAAATGGGAAATCCTCATTTTTAAATTACAATTCACAGATGGATTGTTTACATCTTGCATATTTTAATTGATAAGGCAATAATAATAAAGAAAACCGGTCACACTTTAAGTGGACCATACGGTGTATGGTCATCTAAGTCACTATTTGCAGTAGTGACCTAGCTTAGCCTAAGCTTCAAAGAATCAAAACATTGCAGGGCGTAGTCCTTCTTTAGTTGACTAGGCTGGAAAGATTTTATCTGCTAACGAAAGAACCCATTGCCTCATCTCTGTTGGGCCTCTCTATGGATGCAGCAAGTAGTGCAGGAGCATTCAGTTGCAGGTTCAACATGTAGTTTTTTAAAGCCCTTGAATTTTCTTACTAGGCAGCAATGACTTTCGGTTTTGGTGCTTGAGCCATAACCTTCAATAAAAAGGTTCATACTGCAGGAGTCAACCTTGTCTCGTTCTTTCTTCTTTTTCGCTCCCGTTATCGCTTTTTTCTCCTTGGAATTTTCTATGAGTACCGCGTCGGGGATTTAAAAACGGGTTAATAATTTCTTTTTTCCTTTCTTGTGAGAAGTCCCAAAGGGAAGTATTGCAAAAGAAGCGTGATACGCGTGGTATCACGGCAGTTTTATAGTGTTTGCGGGTAGGACGGGTACAAAGTACCACTTAAGATAAGTGAAGAAATCCTATTTTAATCAACTTTTTTTTAACTGTTTTAATTTCCTTCTATCCTTAAAAGGCACATTACATGTAATTTTAGCGTGTGTGCAGATTTTGCAATGGAATGACGCTACAATCTCAAGAGCACATCTCGAATAACTACATTCAAAATAATAATGATCATAAAATCGCACCTTTCGGCGAGAAGTGAGTTTTATTTCGCGTGTTTAGGAGCAAAGGTAAATGGATGGAACCTGCAGATTTCAGACAAGAGAACAAGACACTTAAGTGAAAACACAAAAGGCGGTATAGAATCAGGCCGGTACGGCGGTCTGTGACGGAGTTCTCTTCAAAGATGGGAGTATTTCCCGGGAATGAATTAAGTCGTTTTCGAGGAATGAAGGGCATCAACACCCATCAGGTGACATTAATGGTTGTATCAGGATTTTAAATCTGCTATAGGAAAGATGTTCTTTGTATCATACGTAGCAGATTACGAGCTTAGCTGTTTACAATTATTGACCTATGGCTCTTGCCACCAGCATCTAATGCCCGTGTAAATTTAAAAAATGGAACCATCATCGAAATGCTTTTCCTCAACGTTTCTATGACAGTAGAGTCTCTATTTCTCCTTTATTTACAAGAGAAATTTGGTGCGTTTTTCTCTTATAATCTTCACTTGGCAATCCGTGTTCCACACGTGTGACGTAAAATCACGTGACTAATCTGAAATCCAAATGTTTTGGCGGCAAAAATCGAGTTTTCGAAAAATTATGAAAAAAAAAGTTTCGCAGATATATCGGAAGATACCAAAGAGAGATACTACATGCCATTAGGAAGCCAGCATAGAGAACTTAAAAAACAGGGGTAATTTTCCCGAGAGTTGCTCTTTAATGATTTTGATTATGATTTTAATAAAATACTTACATTGGACGTTCAAATAGATCAACGCAGAACTGTTTCCAATTAAAAAACAGGGGTAATTTTCCCGAGAGTTGCTCTTTAATGATTTTGATTATGATTTTAATAAAATACTTACATTGGACGTTCAAATAGATCAACGCGGAACTGTTTCCAATTTTATTGCTTGCTTGACAAGCGTATTTACCATGCTGACTTCTAAACGTGTTATCAAACTCAAGGACTCCATTGTTGCGAACACGAGATCCGTTTGGAAGTGTCCAACGAATTAGTGGAAGCGGATTACCGCTGGCCTTGCAGGTAAGCTTTGTCTTGGAAGATTCGTTTACTGTTAGGTTCGGCGTCGAAAAATTGATAGCTGGCGCATCTGAAAAAAAAAATATGATACGGTCGTACTGAAACGTGGGGACATTCTTGGGACCGAGGCAAGTATTCCCTGCATAGAGGTTGGGCTTTGTTTGTTAATAATTAACCTGCCTCGAAATCTTGCTGCAACCTCCCTCAAGGTTTGAGAGCCAGGGTGTACTGAACTAAATAGAGGTTAAACCTGGGTTTTGGGATCCAGAAAAAAAAATTAATGTGAGCGTTTTCAGGGAAAAAAGATGTATTCCCTGAATGTAGGTGGCCCTTGAATAGAGTTGTCCAACAGGAAAGCTTTCATTTATCATGAATACTTCGACTAGGGTGCAAGTGGGGGTGTCACAAGTCTTCTCGGCTATTACTGCTGCAATCATGGGTAAGCCAAAAAAATTTGAACTTGTTTGCAGTATTCCGTAAAAATATCCAAGTACAGTACAGTATGTGCGGTCTTTATGGTTCATTCTTAAAATGTTCATGCCTAAAAATAAAAGGAAAATAAGCCAAATATTGTTTATTGTTTATCATCATTTTACCACTGATACAAGTTAGACATTTTCATAAAATTAAGAAAAAAAGATGAGACAAGGAAGCCCAAGGAAGCCAATAAGGCTTGTGAATAGGACCACCTTTAAAAATATACTAATTAATAAAAAAATAATGACATCGGCAAGACAATTTAACTAAGTACATAATATATAGATTTAGCCAGAGCTAACAGCGAAGTTCTCGATGATATTTATAGTTTGTTCAAACAAAATATAAAATCGTGTAATGCTAAGCGGCGAAGGCAAGGCCGGAGATCGGCGAAAAACAACAATAGGTCTAATTAGCAAAAAAAAAAAACAACAACAACTTTCCACATGCAGCACACTTTTGTTTTTTCATTTCCTTGCCGTTGTCTTGCACGACTACAACGCAAAACTTCCAGAAACCGTTTTTTTATGGAGGAAATGTCGTACGTGTTATCGTTCACTTTTTTTCACTGCCGCTCATTTTCACCTTACATTGGTGGCCGCTAGCATTTCTCATTCTGTCGCCCCTGCTACAAAATTTTCATGTTGGCTTCCAACAAAAAATGTCTCCCTTGTTTTTTATCTCTCGCTCTAGATCTCTGTCGCCCTTTTTCTCGTTGAGTTTCACTGGCCTGTCGCCTACTCTCTCTTTTTCTCTGTCTTTCTCTTGCTCTATGTTCCAAATTTTTGGACATGACCATTAATCTAAGCACAGCACTTTAGACAACACGGATACAGAAACAATTTCCGCTTTCCGTTTTCGTTTTTATTACCGATCTTAAGTTAAGGTAGACGGCGACATACAGGACGGTAACTTTGGCCGCGACGGCTTGGGGAGGGACGACGTCGACTTCGCGAAAGAAACAAGCTTTAAGTTTCAGTAGAGGTGACGGTCGAAGACTTTTCTTAACTTTATTAAAAGGTTTGAGAATGAGTGCCCTGAAAAAGATCCGAGAACTTTTGGTCTACTTTTTTAATTATGATGGTGTCATATCAGATGAGAAATTCGTTTCCTTTTACGATGAAATCTAGTTGAGCGCTTTGCTGCTCGAAAGTGAATGTTCGTCGCTCCATTGAGCCTATTTGCGATCAAAGTATTGCCAAATTTTCGCGCGCTCCACAGTTCGTACGGCTGGTAATCGAGCCTACACAGCTCTTGGCTTGAAGCGGTAGGGCTCACTTCCAAGAACTTTTTTAGCAAGCTGAATATCGTGATCTTCAGTCCACTCCATCTTCATTAAAATAAGAACAAATTATTAAATACGATTGGCAATGCAAGTTGCGCGCAAAAATAACCAAGTTCCTTCATCCTGCTTTATACAGCATGATACAGGGCATTATTTTGCCGAATAAATGATAACCAATTAACACGTACAACTTAAGCAGAACAGGTGAACTAAAAACTACGTGAATGAAGAAAAGGGTAGTTCAGATGGTGAGAGAATACTTAAATGTGATTATTATTCATTCAAAATATTTCCCCGATTCTGATTGGCTAAAAGCGTACGTTTAATTCACCATAAACAGTTACTGATGACCAAATTTGAAAGAATTTTGTGTTTAACGAGAAAATGACGTCAAAAATGCAGCCCTCTACAGGTTAATGAACCGTTAACCGAGAAGACCTGGGGACGAGAATGAGTTGTTTCGGTTGCTGAGTTGTTTTGGTTGTTAAATGGCCGACACTTCACTCGTTTCAAGAGTAAGAACTACAGCCGGAACTAGGCGAAGTAATAGTTAAAAACGTAGCAAAAACAGCAAGAAGGCAACTCGGAGGGCGACATCTGCTATTTGGATATAATATTTGCGGAGCTGGACAAACCTAAACGTACACTATCGAAGATGAACTGAACATCAGTGGATCGATGGAGGTAAGCATGTTTTAGCTATGTTTTTAAACTAGGAATTATTTTGAATGAATAATAAAACAATTATTGAATTCGGCTTTCGTATCATATGAAGAATTATGGAGATCTCGGAGGGTGTTGTCCGCCTCGGCCTACGGCCTAGACGGATAACACCCTCCTTGATCTCCATAATTCTTTATAAGATACTCAACCTCATTCATTAATTGGTAATTAATTTATCGCTGACAATTCTAACCCTGCAGTTGTACCACCTGCTACACAAGTTCATGTTATATTCAATCATAAAATAGTGTTCAAGTAAGTAATTGGGAAAGGTTTACCATTTGAAATAAACTAGACACTAGCAACAGATAAAAGCGGTATTCTGTTGAAATAAAGAGACACCGTCGCACTCAGCTTTCTCACCGTCGCGACATGCAGACGACGTAGGTTGGACGGCTGAGATATATGCTAATTAGACCCAAATCGGGCAACTTTTATTTCCTGTTGCCGTCCTCCATGGCCACCTTACCGTCCACCCTAACTTAGGGTCCGTATTGACTCTTTAGCTGCCTCTGCTTTACACGACGCGGGTGGCTAAGCGATTTCCCGCCAAAATAACCTCGAGTTGCAATTGGGTTGCCATACCTGTTGATTGAGATATTTTACATTGGTATGCCTGAGGTGCGGACGGACGGTCGCTCGGTCGGTGTACGGTCACGTGATTACCAAATCTTCTCGAATGGGTAGATAACCACATTTTCTTACCCATGGTGCTCCGCTGCGCGCGCTTCGCGCCAGAGAGCTCCGCTATAATTACTTTAGAACACAGAGAATAATCATTAAATAGAATAAAAATAGATAAGGTTGAACGTGTAAGAGCGAAAACGAAAGAGAAAAAGGCGAGAAAAAATATTGTAAGAAGATACGAGAAAAAAAAAAGGAAAGAAGCGAAAACTACACACAAGTGATGAGAGAACTAAAGTGTCCTTATACCAAGAAAAAATGACTTACGTTTTGGATGGAACAAAGCAGCACTAGAGGCTAGGAGAATTAAATATTTTGGGCCCATGAAAATGAAGCGAAAATTTCCTTACAATTGTCCCGCAGTAGGGCAAACGGAAGGAATTCTTACTTCTTAATCTAGTGTCATAAGAACGTACGTCACAGTTAAGTAAAAACATGTCATTGAAACTATAACGAAAAAGGCCTTTTTAGTAAAGATACATAACTTATCTATTTGAAGTTGGATAATATATTCAAATTTTAGAATTCGTAAGCTCACAAATAGGATTGGCACGTGCATAAAAAGGACTCTTGCCGGAAATACTGACTTCTAAACGTGTTATCAAACTCAAGGACTCCATTGTTGCGAACACGAGATCCGTTTGGAAGTGTCCAACGAATTAGTGGAAGCGGATTACCGCTGGCCTTGCAGGTAAGCTTTGTCTTGGAAGATTCGTTTACTGTTAGGTTCGGCGTCGAAAAATTGATAGCTGGCGCATCTGAAAAAAAAAATATGATACGGTCGTACTGAAACGTGGGGACATTCTTGGGACCGAGGCAAGTATTCCCTGCATAGAGGTTGGGCTTTGTTTGTTAATAATTAACCTGCCTCGAAATCTTGCTGCAACCTCCCTCAAGGTTTGAGAGCCAGGGTGTACTGAACTAAATAGAGGTTAAACCTGGGTTTTGGGATCCAGAAAAAAAAATTAATGTGAGCGTTTTCAGGGAAAAAAGATGTATTCCCTGAATGTAGGTGGCCCTTGAATAGAGTTGTCCAACAGGAAAGCTTTCATTTATCATGAATACTTCGACTAGGGTGCAAGTGGGGGTGTCACAAGTCTTCTTGGCTATTACTGCTGCAATCATGGGTAAGCCAAAAAAATTTGAACTTGTTTGCAGTATTCCGTAAAAATATCCAAGTACAGTACAGTATGTGCGGTCTTTATGGTTCATTCTTAAAATGTTCATGCCTAAAAATAAAAGGAAAATAAGCCAAATATTGTTTATTGTTTATCATCATTTTACCACTGATACAAGTTAGACATTTTCATAAAATTAAGAAAAAAAGATGAGACAAGGAAGCCCAAGGAAGCCAATAAGGCTTGTGAATAGGACCACCTTTAAAAATATACTAATTAATAAAAAAATAATGACATCGGCAAGACAATTTAACTAAGCACATAATATATAGATTTAGCCAGAGCTAACAGCGAAGTTCTCGATGATATTTATAGTTTGTTCAAACAAAATATAAAATCGTGTAATGCTAAGCGGCGAAGGCAACGCCGGAGATCGGCGAAAAACAACAATAGGTCTAATTAGCAAAAAAAAAAAACAACAACAACTTTCCACATGCAGCGCACTTTTGTTTTTTCATTTCCTTGCCGTTGTCTTGCACGACTACAACGCAAAACTTCCAGAAACCGTTTTTTTATGGAGGAAATGTCGTACGTGTTATCGTTCACTTTTTTTCACTGCCGCTCATTTTCACCTTACATTGGTGGCCGCTAGCATTTCTCATTCTGTCGCCCCTGCTACAAAAGTTTCATGTTGGCTTCCAACAAAAAATGTCTCCCTTGTTTTTTATCTCTCGCTCTAGATCTCTGTCGCCCTTTTTCTCGTTGAGTTTCGCTGGCCTGTCGCCTACTCTCTCTTTTTCTCTGTCTTTCTCTTGCTCTATGTTCCAAATTTGTGGACATGACCATTAATCTAAGCACAGCACTTTAGACAACACGGATACAGAAACAATTTCCGCTTTCCGTTTTCGTTTTTATTACCGATCTTAAGTTAAGGTAGACGGCGACGGTAACTTTGGCCGCGACGGCTTGGGGAGGGACGACGTCGACTTCGCGAAAGAAACAAGCTTTAAGTTTCAGTAGAGGTGACGGTCGAAGACTTTTCTTAACTTTATTAAAAGGTTTGAGAATGAGTGCCCTGAAAAAGATCCGAGAGCTTTTGGTCTACTTTTTTAATTATGATGGTGTCATATCAGATGAGAAATTCGTTTCCTTTTACGATGAAATCTAGTTGAGCGCTTTGCTGCTCGAAAGTGAATGTTCGTCGCTCCATTGAGCCTATTTGCGATCAACGTATTGCCAAATTTTCGCGCGCTCCACAGTTCGTACGGCTGGTAATCGAGCCTACACAGCTCTTGGCTTGAAGCGGTAGGGCTCACTTCCAAGAACTTTTTTAGCAAGCTGAATATCGTGATCTTCAGTCCACTCCATCTTCATTAAAATAAGAACAAATTATTAAATACGATTGGCAATGCAAGTTGCGCGCAAAAATAACCAAGTTCCTTCATCCTGCTTTATACAGCATGATACAGGGTATTATTTTGCCGAATAAATGGTAACCAATTAACACGTACAACTTAAGCAGAACAGGTGAACTAAAAACTACGTGAATGAAGAAAAGGGTAGTTCAGATGGTGAGAGAATACTTAAATGTGATTATTATTCATTCAAAATATTTCCCCGATTCTGATTGGCTAAAAGCGTACGTTTAATTCACCATAAACAGTTACTGATGACCAAATTTGAAAGAATTTTGTGTTTAACGAGAAAATGACGTCAAAAATACAGCCCTCTACAGGTTAATGAACCGTTAACCGAGAAGACCTGGGACGAGAATGAGTTGTTTCGGTTGCTGAGTTGTTTTGGTTGTTAAATGGCCGACACTTCACTCGTTTCAAGAGTAAGAACTACAGCCGGAACTAGGCGAAGTAATAGTTAAAAACGTAGCAAAAACAGCAAGAAGGCAACTCGGAGGGCGACATCTGCTATTTGGATATAATATTTGCGGAGCTGGACAAACCTAAACGTACACTATCGAAGATGAACTGAACATCAGTGGATCGATGGAGGTAAGCATGTTTTAGCTATGTTTTTAAACTAGGAATTATTTTGAATGAATAATAAAACAATTATTGAATTCGGCTTTCGTATCATATGAAGAATTATGGAGAGCTCGGAGGGTGTTGTCCGCCTCGGCCTACGGCCTAGACGGATAACACCCTCCTTGATCTCCATAATTCTTTATAAGATACTCAACCTCATTCATTAATTGGTAATTAATTTATCGCTGACAATTCTAACCCTGCAGTTGTACCACCTGCTACACAAGTTCATGTTATATTCAATCATAAAATAGTGTTCAAGTAAGTAATTGGGAAAGGTTTACCATTTGAAATAAACTAGACACTAGCAACAGATAAAAGCGGTATTCTGTTGAAATAAAGAGACACCGTCGCACTCAGCTTTCTCACCGTCGCGACATGCAGACGACGTAGGTTGGACGGCTGAGATATATGCTAATTAGACCCAAATCGGGCAACTTTTATTTCCTGTTGCCGTCCTCCACCTTACCGTCCACCCTAACTTAGGGTCCGTATTGACTCTTTAGCTGCCTCTGCTTTACACGACGCGGGTGGCTAAGCGATTTCCCGCCAAAATAACCTCGAGTTGCAATTGGGTTGCCATACCTGTTGATTGAGATATTTTACATTGGTATGCCTGAGGTGCGGACGGACGGTCGCTCGGTCGGTGTACGGTCACGTGATTACCAAATCTTCTCGAATGGGTAGATAACCACATTTTCTTACCCATGGTGCTCCGCTGCGCGCGCTTCGCGCCAGAGAGCTCCGCTATAATTACTTTAGAACACAGAGAATAATCATTAAATAGAATAAAAATAGATAAGGTTGAACGTGTAAGAGCGAAAACGAAAAAGAAAAAGGCGAGAAAAAATATTGTAAGAAGATACGAGAAAAAAAAAAGGGAAAGAAGCGAAAAACTACACACAAGTGATGAGAGAACTAAAGTGTCCTTATACCAAGAAAAAATGACTTACGTTTTGGATGGAACAAAGCAGCACTAGAGGCTAGGAGAATTAAATATTTTGGGCCCATGAAAATGAAGTGAAAATTTCCTTACAATTGTCCCGCAGTAGGGCAAACGGAAGGAATTCTTACTTCTTAATCTAGTGTCATAAGAACGTACGTCACAGTTAAGTAAAAACATGTCATTGAAACTGTAACGAAAAAGGCCTTTTTAGTAAAGATACATAACTTATCTATTTGAAGTTGGATAATATATTCAAATTTTAGAATTCGTAAGCTCACAAATAGGATTGGCACGTGCATAAAAAGGACTCTTGCCGGAAATTATTTTATCAACCCGTTTTTGAAGAGTAATCAAACGTTTAAGATTTGACTGATAAGTTAAGCTCCAAACACTCGCACAGTAATGTAAATAAGGATAAACTAAACTATAATAGAGAGTACATAAGAGGGTCATATTAAGGCAGAAATTAAAATCTTGATTTGTAAATAATGCCTACTGATATTAAGACTTTTCTTGGTACGTTCTGTATTTGAGAACTCCAAGGTAAGTGTTCATCAAGTATAACTCTTAAGAACAAAAGTTTATTTACACGATCATCTCAATAAAGGTCAAGTTTTTGCCTATTTTGTTTTGTTTTGAATAAAATAAAATTTGATCTATTTTATGTTAATGGAAAGCTTGATGGGGTAGTCCGCATTTGATGTATTTAGAGGAGGAATTATAGCCATTGCCCTGAAAAAATTGAGTTCTACAAGCAAGATAACTCTAAATAGTAACTGAAGAGACGTTCACTAGGACATTTCGGACATGTAATGGTGCTTATGATATAGTGACTTTTAAAGGAAGGTTTAATAAAGGTTAGAAAGCAATCAACAAACAAACAATCAAGAAATCATTCAAGACTAATTAAGTACTTACAGATCACTGTTACAGTTGCTATGGCATTATCGTTCGGGTTTGTTGTGACATTGGCGACAGTACAGCTGTAGTTCCCCGAATCCTTTCTACTGATGTTTTCCAAAGTCAGCTGATTTGAACGTGGCAGCACCCTTTTTGTGCCATATTTACTCCACATAAAGATGAGTCCGGTTGCGTTCGTGTTATTTCCTGACAAAGTGCAGTTAACAGTAATATTTCCCCCTTCTTCAACTGTAGTTATGTTTGGCCAAACATTGATGATACTTTCTGTAAAATTAGAAGACAAAAAAATAACTTCACGGCTAACCTTAAATATCAAGGAAGTGCTTCCAAAGCTCAAGATTATGCAACCCTTTTCTTTGCATAAAGCCGATTAGAAGTGGTATAATTGGTTTCTCTTGGATAAGATGCTACACCATCTCAGGGCGATCCTCATTCTAGAACTAGTATAATAAATATCATGGGTGACAAATTTCAAAATTGCCATGGCAACATTTCGTACGTCTTAGTGCCAATATGTTATGAAGAAAGATGTCAGGACATTAAATGACGCGTTAGAAAACCTAAAAACACTCACGTGAAATTATTCACTAATTTCACTCGTTACCATTTAATTACACATACTTATTTCACCGATATTTGTTTACACTGCAAAGACTTCACAACATTCACTGTTGTTCAAAAACTCTTTACGACTGCTATTTACCCATATCTAAACGCACAACAATATTAGTATATCTAATATTTAATTTTTTTAAATAATTATTTCATCTCCGTANGGCTAACCTTAAATATCAAGGAAGTGCTTCCAAAGCTCAAGATTATGCAACTCTTTTCTTTGCATAAAGCCGATTAGAAGTGGTATAATTGGTTTCTCTTGGATAAGATGCTACACCATCTCAGGGCGATCCTCATTCTAGAACTAGTATAATAAATATCATGGGTGACAAATTTCAAAATTGCCATGGCAACATTTCGTACGTCTTAGTGCCAATATGTTATGAAGAAAGATGTCAGGACATTAAACGACGCGTTAGAAAACCTAAAAACACTCACGTGAAATTATTCACTAATTTCACTCGTTACCATTTAATTACACATACTTATTTCACCGATATTTGTTTACACTGCAAAGACTTCACAACATTCACTGTTGTTCAAAAACTCTTTACGACTGCTATTTACCCATATCTAAACGCACAACAATATTAGTATATCTAATATTTAATTTTTTTAAATAATTATTTCATCTCCGTAAGACCTGAATTTCGATGAGATGAACCCTGTTTTATTAATAATAATAATAATAGTAATAATAATAATAATAATAATAATAATAATAATAATAATAATAATGATGATGTTAAACATGGGGGTTCGGTTTAAAAAGGTTCCCCAAGCTCAATCAAATTAATATTAAAGATTTGAAACATGTCGTCGGTTGGCGTCGCGATGTGAGAATCCACTTCACTCTCATTCTTGCAAAAAATCAAAACACCTCTTGTAAAAAACTAAATATTAACTTATGGAACGTTGTTATAACGTGTAATTTATGTTTTTACGCGAAGGAGTTATAAAAATATCGAATGGCGAAAACTGATATCGATCGTCGCTCGCAGTGCGGCTCAGGGTTAATGAGCCTAAATCTTTACTAGTTTTCGCTTGGTTCTTAACTCCCTATTCTCTTTCTGAAACATCTATTGTAAAGTACCTTAGTTAAATAGAACGAGTGTGTTGTGATAGGAGCGTTTGTTGACCCAGAAATGTGAACATTCGGGAACATTTGTTGTAGTACATGTATCACGGCGCCGTCCGGGTGCCGGCGAGTTTGAACAACAAATGAAGCCAACGGGAATACAATGAGAGACGGAAAAACTAGTTACGGAGTAGCCCCAGTTCAGCTAAGATCATCTTTATTAACAGATGTCGTGTGAGACCCGATCTACCTAACAAACAAAAGGAAATCACATGCAATACACTGCAGTTGAACGGTTGTTTTATTTGCATCACAAAACCTCTGGGAGTATACTGTACAGCAACAGAGAGTTGTATTATTCGTGCTATTGGTAATTTCTTCTTAGAAAAAGCTTACCGGGATTGGAACGTCCACTGACATGTCTATGGCTCATAAAAATAAATTCCACGCTCAATTCCTCTGTGTGAGCGTCCTGCCATAAATACTTCTTGCCTCATTTTCCCACACTTACACGGTTACCTGATATCACAAATACAATAGACAGCGGCCAAAAGGTTAACGAAACGATATGCAACTTGAACACAAACCATTTTCCTGGGAAAAGCCAGTATTCTTCTACTGTAGCGACCGAATCTTCCACAACGGTTAACCGAAGCCGTGTACGTGTGATACGCGTTATCCTCGTGGATATACTTATTAATTCAATCGAAGACCAATAGGAACAGGTTTTCTATAAGTATTCTTTATTTTGGCCACTGATAAAGTGCAACATATTGCGGTAGCTTGGATTTTTCTCGCGAGACGCGGGAGAATTCAAAAACGTGTCGCCATCTTGGCTGGGTAATCGGAAACTTATCAAAATCTTCCTAAGGAAGGTCTCTTTTTATAGGCTAAGAGGCTAAGTAAGGAGTACGTGATCAGGTCAAAACTCAATGGCGGAAACATGGTGAAGGCTATCAACTGGTGGCTTGTGTCGCTGTTGCGCTACAGTGTTGGGATGGCTAAGTGGACTAAGATTGAGCTAATGAATCTTGATCGAAAGACCAGAAAATTGCTTACTATACATGAACAAATGTTAGCCGCCTGTTACATACCTCAGTCGTAAGAAAGGGGGGCAAGGGCTGATCTGCATGGAGATTTGTCTTAAGCCATTAAAGCAGAATGCATGGAAAATGCCAGGAGAGTGTAGAACTCATAGTATGTGGCTGCAGCTAGCTTGTCCAAAGAGATTACAAAAAGAGGCACGACACACTGGCCCGGGTTGTTCATTGTAAAGTTTATGATCTCCCATTTAGTAGCAATTGGTACGAACATAGCCCTGTAGGGATAACTGACAATGAAGAAGTGAATATATTATAAAATTTTACCATACAAACCGATCGTGAGATAAATCACCGTAGGCCTGACATAACTGTCCATGGTAAGAATAACAACAAATTCCTTACCGAAGAGATTGCGGTACCTGGCGACAGCAACGTTGAAAGCAAATTAAGAGAAAGAGATTTAGGAAAAATATCAAGACTTAGCAAGGGAAACATCTAGACTCTGTAGGGCAAAGACAAAATTAATACCAGTCGTTGTAGGGTCACTGAAGGGAATTGGAATTCCAAATAGGGTCTGAACTTTGCAAAAGTCTGAACTTCCTTGAACGGCCACCATATTGAGAAAGGCCCTTGAAATCTAAGGTCTCGGGACGGGACCACACTAAAAGTAGAAAATGTTGTTGCTTCCAGTACAAAGAACGCCTGTGCGAATTCGAAATAATAATAATAATAGATTATAACTCAGAAGATCAGAAGGTAGAAGAGGGCTGATCGGTGTGGAAGAGTGTGTAATGTTGCCTTGCTAATTGCATTAGTAGAATGACGAAGTTTTACTACGTGCAGTATATCAAGAACAGATTCTGAACAATATTGGAAAAGATGAAGCTAGATAAGGATGCACTTGACGTAGAAAAAAGCAAAGATTCCCAGCCAAGCCTCTCTATGGCCAGTTTTTCGGAAATACAACGGAAAGAGATGAGAAGTCTTGGGAGTAGCTCAAGATAGCAAATCTGAAAATGGAGATGAAGGGTCTATTAACTGCCGCTCAGGACCAGGCACTGAGACGAATTCAGAGTTGATAAACAGGAGGTGTCGCCTGCATGTAGAATGTTTGGGGAGAGAGACGAAACGATTGCACATGTGGTGGCTAAATGCATGAAGCTCGCGCAAAAGCATTACAAGAAACTGTAGACACGACAAAGTTGCCCAAGTGACACACTAGTTTCTTTGTGAAAAGTCAAGCTCCGAGAGAGGCAAAACATGGTATAATCATACACCTGAGCCGTTCTTGAGTCAGAGAACACAAAGTTCAAACAGATTTGGTGGTGGAGGCAAGCAAGCCTGACATTGTAGTGATGGACAACAAAGAAGGAAAATGTCTCGTAATAGATATAGCGCGTCCCTTCGACACAAGAATCTGTGAGACGGAAAAGGAAAAATTGAAAAAGTACCAGGATTTGAAGAGGGAGCTCAAAACGATTTGGAAGTGTAATGAAGTCACTATCGTGCCCGTGATTATTGGCGCCCTTGGAATGGTGTCAACCAAAATGGTTGAAGGTACTGGACGTAGCCAAGGAATTAAAGCTTCCACAGGACGAAATAACGTGTTTCCGTATTTTGTAAACTTGACGGAAACGGGAAGTTGCTTATATCCGTCACGTTTCCGCCCTGCGGAAACATGGTGATCTAGTTTTCCATGTACGGGACGCGTTTCCGTCATGTTTCCGCGACGGAAACGAACGATCATGTTTCCGCCACATTTCTGTTATCACATTTCCGTTCTTTCTTGTTTCCGTTACGTTTCAGGTGACGAATTTTTTTCTTTTTTTTTAACCCATGTCCAAGATCGCATGATCAATGTTTCAGAAAATTTGCCTTTGCGTACAATCAAGGTGAATAAAGGTAAATTTACTCTTGAGATCGGGCTATAAACGGTTCTCATGCATTACTCGCGCGCGTTGCATTGATGCAAAGACTGTGAAGCGTGCGAGGTTGGCATTGCTTTCGATTCTAAATGATAAAAATCGCAGAGATTACCAACAGCTTTCGATATTTGCCAGATTGATGTCAATCAGTACTGGCGTAAAATAAAATACTCTTAGACGGAGAATACAAGAGAGAAAATAAGAGGGAATGGGGCCTAGAAGAGAGCGGAGTGCTGGTCAGCGGACTTTTCTTTTGCTCATGCTCATTGCGGTCATTCTTTTTGGCGTCCATTTTGAAAGTGATTGCAACGACTTCAAATTTGCCAGCTTCTGTAGGTTCTAGGAGCGTGGAATCGGTATATTTTTGCTTTCTAATGGCACTACAAGACATCTAAGGGTTGTTATGTATATTTGTCGACCCACCGGCCTTCAGTAATCGATCGCTTCCCTCGTAAAGCGACTCTTCTGACACAGTTGAGCAGAATGTGAGACAAAAACCTCGTGATGAGCAAGCATAATTTGAAAGTTGGAGTGTTTTACCGTGCTAAGGCTATCCAAGGCGGAGGATTGTCACGGGGAATACAGATAGTAAGACGAGGTAAGCTTAACAGTTTTCCATATTTCATTTTTGTGGTCTGTAACATTTGATATAATGCTTGGGAGACATATTTGTTGACACAAAGCTGTGATTGATAAGTACAGTAATTTCCCAAGCAGGAAACTGCAACATAATGAACCTGAATCATTTTACTAAACAGGGCAAGGTGCTGCGCTGTGAGGCCTGTGAAATGATTGTAGAAAAATGGTCAGAGGGTTCCAGTGATTTTGTTACAAATAGTATGTGGTGAGTCCTGGGACTCATCTTGTGAATAGGCACAAGTCCCTGTTCATAACCAGTGAGTCCCAGTTCAAAAAACAGGGAGTCCTTAATTGAAAATGCTTGGTATGGGCCTTTTAACCAGACAGTTAATCTGGAGACAGACACCAAAACTCTTATTACAGTTTACTGAAATCAAAATATAGTCCTTCTATATATTTAAAGCACAAAAAGACTAAAATAAATATACATCTTTAAACAACAGCTACAGAAATCACACAAACAGGATATTCTACCAAAAAATCTTCAAATCGATCGATCATCCTTTGTATCCTACAGGATGCGTGCCATGAATTTTTTTGCGTCTTTGGGGAATTTTACGTGTGAGTGATGCAAGATGCAGAGGTAACAAAATCACTGGGGTTCAAAACCATTCCAAATAGTGCACAGGTTTAATTTACTGAGAAAGACGGTAACAGATATTGTTGATCGGTTCATATGTCTCGGAAGCCCCTACACAGAGTTGGGTAAACAGCGAAGTCCAAGTATGTATGCTATGGAAATACAAAAACATTTAATTGAAAATCAGGTTGTTGAGCAACAAAGGTTCATTGAGTCATGTATTGACACATGATCTCGGTTACTCGTGCAAAAAGTTGACAAATAGTTCCAAAAGAGAGCTTATAATAATAATATAATAATGCTTGACTGAAAATGCTCAAGAAAAAGTTGAAGAAAGTATTTTTTTTCAGTAACTGTGATCCCAGGAATAGGCACTTCTTTGACGAGAGCTCAGTGATTAAAACAACTGGGAAGTGAAGTTACTGTTGAGCAAACTTGTGAAGTTCAGTCACACCAAAGTTGACAACTATGTCTTGAAGTTCGCAATTCAATTCCCTAACGTGCCATGTAATTGGCTACTTCATAATGTAGTACCCAATTTCCCAACGAACTTTACAATGTGGCGTGGTAAATAATTTGAAATCAACTGTAAAAGAGTGATCCAGACAATACTGAATATTGTGACACAGCCCCTTTAAGTCTTCATTTCAGTGGACAGCAAAACCAGCAGTGGAGTTAAACTAGTAAAACCACTTTTATTTATCCTGTATTACCCTGCAGTTGTATGCAAGCATCATATTGACCAGGGGGGAGGGGGGTACTCCTTAAATAATTATGTTCTCTTGAAATCCAAACAATGTTCCCTCAACTTGCAAAGCAACCAGCAGATTTGTTTACTGATCATTCTTTGAATAACCAAAGATTGGTGGTTTTGAGATAAAAACTGAAAAAGGGAAATTTATTATGGTTTGGTTATTCACAAGTGTATTGATATAATGCTGCTTTTCAGACAACATATTACGGCATAAGGACACATCATTGGCAATATAGACAAAGTGAACAACAGTTTACTACACAACTGTGAAACAGGCACTTTAAAGTGATTTCAATATTATAATTCAAGGAACTGAGCTTTCAGGAATAGTTTTGCTTTGTTTACTAGGTTTGTTGGATTTTAAACTTTGAATTTAAGTTGTTGAACTGACTGTAATAAACAGAGTGAAATGTTGAGAAGTGAATTTGTTTATTCAGAATTATAAGCTCATATTTATAAGCTCTATGGAATAGTAGACTTTGTTTGACTAAATTTGACACTTTTTCCAGTGTTTTTTATCGGCATCATTAATCTGATATCCACACTCATAGCTCAGCGTACATTGTTGTCAGTTAAGACATTACATGGTTGTAGTGACTGTCAATTGTTTTTTAGTTTCCCTTGCAACTTCAATACCAAGAAACAATTACAACATGTGAAAAAAAAAGAGGCATGATATTTTTGTCAATTATTGATTTATTTTCTCTGTCGGTTCGCCTCTCACTGCTAGAATATTTACTTTAGGAAATACATGTAAATGTATATCCAGCATATCACATTGAATGTTTGGCTTTCAACTAGATCAAACTCTTTCAAATGAAAGAGTTTGATGTAGCTCAGCCATTCAACAAAACCCACTCACAAAAAAAAATTGAATAGATCATTCGATTTTTGAAGTCAGTTAAACGTTGAGTTGGGTTATCGAACAAAGTGGAACTCGTATAAGGAATACTTGAATGGAACAAAATCAAATGTTTCAGTTCCAAACAGTTGATGGCAAGTGTGTTAATTATTGATCTAGTGTGAAAGCATTTAAGGCGATGCAAGGTCCTGCTTCTTTTATTATTTCCATTTCAGAGTTAAATTCTAAAATAAACATTTTCTGTGAAAATGTCAATACATTCATTTTGTTTACCAAGGAAAAAGTCTTTAAATCTGCAAGTTGAAATCATCTTGGGAATCATCTCAATTATTACTCGATCTTCACTCCTTAATTGGCCTCAATTGTAGCATATTCTGAATCCAGCACTTGTCAGATTTCCCTGGCTTGTTGAGTTGACTCAGTTTCCACATTTGATTTTTTTTCCAATATAATTTGGTTTGTTTCAATTTTGTTCCGGCAAAAAACTCTCAAAAAAACTGGTTTGATATTGTTTTATGGCCAAACTGTTTTGTTCGGGGGAGTTTGATAGGAATTTTGTTTTGTGTAATACATTGTACACCAGAAGTATACATTTACTGCAGTAAATTATCTGGTGCCCACCAGGGTGATCGCTTTACAAGTTGTGAGAACATAATTTCTTGCTCCCAGACCATGTTACTTTCCCCTGCCTCCCCTGGTATTGACCCTGTACGTGTAGATGATAATGTGCAACCTGAGGGAGGTTGTGCCCTTGAAAAATAGGCTTTTTGTCACTGACACTGGGAATCTTAGACAGCCTCTGTCTACATTTACATGTAACCCCTGGTCCACCGTCTTAACGCTGAAGGTTGCGGGCAACATAGTGTACTAGCTATTAGTATGAAACACAACTGTATGTTAATGTAATGTGATTAATCAGGGTTGTCAGAAAGTTTTGAAGTGCATGTAGACGGCTGAGTTGTCAAAGTAGGCGGCCAGTAAATTATATGTATATTACTCATTTAGTATGTTTTATTCTTATGAGAATATCTACATTAGTGAAGTAACCTTACTGCTGAAAGGTTCCCCCCCCCCCCACCAATAGCCTGGGGAATAGCCTCTGTGTTTTACTTAAATAGCACTTTGTTTTGTTTTTCATACAACAGGCAGATCACCTTGGTATGTGATGTTGGTGCAAAACGTTCTCTCAAAGCAAGCAGGCTGCATCAAGGAACTTAATTTCAGTCTTGAAGTTACTGTGCTTTATGCTTAGTCAAGTTCTGAAAATTTTAATCTTGAAATACTACTTCCATACTAAAGACAAAAAAAATGTCCAACTGCTGCCTTGAGTGGGCAAGATGAAGCAAACCTTGCATTCTAATTGGCTACTCAAGCGGGCAAGATGAGCCCATTTTGCCCACTTTGGATTTCCCGCGTTGGTCCCACAAGTAAAAGTTCTCTTCTTGGCCATGTAATAATTCATTTATTGACCAAGCTTGTTTGTTCAAGATGGCTGAATATTGGACTCATTCATTTTTTTCATTTTTATTGACCAAGACCAGGCTGTGCTTTGTGGCCCATGGCGCCTACATCTGTAACTTTTGTTCTCGGGCAACTAGAAAATCTTTGCTTTTTCATAGAAATCATTTGCTGGGCACACTGGATTTCACAAGTTCAGAGTGCTGAGCTGCCTTCAATTTTTCTTAGAGCACAGCCTTGTAAGAGGAAGGCAGGGTCAATAAAGATGCAAATATCCAGCCATCTTAACCTCACACCCGGTCAATAAAGCATAATTATTTATTACAATTTTATGGTTGAATCCATGAGCCGGCAAGATGAAGCAAATCGTGTGTTCTAATAGGCTACTCAAGTGAGCAAACCAATCAAGCTTGTTTGGTGAAGACAGCTGGGTATTGGCCTCACAAAATAGAGCTTGGCCAATACCCAGCCATCTTGACCGAATGTTGGTCAATAATGCATAATCATTTATAACAATAATAATTATTAGAACTTTGTGGAAATCTTTTCCAGAAAGGCATTTTATATTGCTTTAAAAGGGCTAGGTTATAATATATTTTGTTCTTTGAGAGGCTTAAATGTGTCTTGGCATAAATTAAGTGCCAAAAATGATGGTCCACTTTTGTTATTTGATACTTAATTGAGGCATTGGGACTGTTTCCCATCACTTCTTGCTAGTATGTATGACAAAGATGATCATGGATTGAAACTTGGCCAACTTTTTCAACCTTAAAATAATGCTATGACTGCATAAATGACCAAGAATTATTATGGTTTGTGCTTCCTGATGAAATTGGCTTGATGCATGTATCTTCTTCATACTGTAACTCTATAAGTCGAGCATTTTGTGTATTGGGTAAAGACACTAAGTAATGACTTCAGCATAGGAGTGACCTATAACGTATACATGAAACACAAACGGTTTTAGCAGACTTGTATTATGTAAAAGTGTGGCCATACTTTGTTTGTAGATCTATTTTTTTGCCTTTGAATCTTTGCACTGGTCATAGAAAATTGTGTAGTTTAGACCACCATGCCAGAAGAGTAAGAATATTTCATGACACCATATAATATTATCCTCAAGCAGAATGGTCATATAAGTAATAAGTGGTATATGATCATACAGGTTAGTGTAGTACTTAGTGGGACTGTTGACAGGAACTGATGTTTTGACAATGCCCATGAAAATGATGATCACCATGTTGTCAAAACGTTAGTCGCTGTCAACAACAGTCCTACTCAGGACTACAATGTACATTCACCCGACAAATCATATTCCACTTTGTTGAAATATTATAGACAACCAAAACTATCTCTAGCCATAAGCTGCTCATGAAAGTGTTTATCACTATCTGCTATAAAGGATATTAATTTGTTAACAGATTTGACATTTTCTTTACAAGAAAAAAACATTACGTTGTGCTACAGAAAATTTCTAGTGGATTTCTTAAAGGAAGCCTCTTACTATTCTTGTTCATTGATAGTATGAATAGGCACTCACACTTAAAATGTAATTTAACTTAACCAATGTAATGAATACACACTATAAGAAGAACTGATTGTCAATTTAGGAAGCAAGGAGAATAAAGAAAGTACTTGGAAAGATTGCTTTGGTATTATTTTGTGCAATAAAAATGTCGAGAGAATAGGTTTTTGTTACCATATAGATGGCGGGAAAACCACCCAAGATGGTAAAAAGCGCTTTTTTCACGATGGAAATAACTTGAAAACACCACTTTCCAACTAGTAAACTCGTGTTTCCGCAATAGTTACATCCGATTACGTTGACGGAAACATGAAATTGACTTGTTTCCGGAACGTTTTCGCGTGTTTCCGTAAGGATGCCAAGCATTTACGCTTGCGGAAACATGTGATTGCCGTCATGTTTCCGCAACGGTTTAACGTGTTTACGTTACGTTTCCATTTACGGATTCTTGAAATTTCGTCCTGTGTTCTACAGAAAGTATGCCTCTTAAGAGCAGAAAGGGTCCTTAGAAGAGTATTAGACATGGGATAAGTCACACCAATATTACCACCCAAGGCCAGATAACACAGAATCCTTTCAGGCATTTGTTTTTAAAGCTTTATAACTTTGACAATTTTATACCTAGAAGAATGTCAGCCCCTAACAATATAACATTTGCCATAAAATATCTTCCCATGTCAAATCTAGCGTAATGACGTCATCAGTCATGTGACTATTGCCACACTAGCTTTTTTGTTGCTGTGACAAGATTTTAATATCGAGCTAGAAACAAATAACATATTTGAGGTCTTGGTTGTGTGGGGCATTTAAAAATAACCAGTTAACTTCCGTCATTTAAAATTTAAGATGGCAATGAACATGAACTCTGAGGGTACGGGGTTCGAATCTCTCAAAAGCCATTTTTTTCTTGAACATCCTTTTTTCTTTCTCTCTTTTATTTAGACCCGTTTTACTCTAACCTGTGGAGTGTACAGCCACAAACATAATGTAGTAAACTGAAACCAAAGTTTACAAGAACGTAAAACAATGCCATACGTATGGTGAGGAATTTACCGGTATTTTATCACAGGACACTGCTAACATTTAAGGCCCAGATTTCACATGTGCCGAATTTAATTCAAGAATTAACTACATGTGAGATGCAACGTCTGAATCAAGCAAATTCGACAGTTTCATATTAAATACGACTTTGATGAATATGCCACTGAAACAGTCGAAGATTCGACTTAGGTTTGACAAGGAGGGAGGGGCCATCTCTACTGACCACTATGACGTCACACACTATCGGGGGAGAGGAGAGTTTCGGGTCGCTTGTGCAAATTTAAAAGGGACACCATAGTCATTCGAACACGAAAGGTCGGGGATAAGGTTAAAAGCTAGGCAAATATTGCTATACATCGCTAATTTGATCATAAGTGTGTGAACTTCGTTGTTGCTTTTATCTGCTCGTGTAAACCGTCTTGGTATTTTGTGTCCGTACTTGTGTAATTTCGTTAATTTGTGTCGCGGGCAGTGTTGCGGGATCATCATCTTCTTTACGGGACCAGCAAGAGCATAAAAACTTAGTTCATTTTTTCTCTAAAATAGGCGACGTCTGGTCTCTAGAATAGGAGGGTCGATTCAGAGTTTATACACGTTTATATTACATGCATTCTTTCGCTAATTAAATCGACCGTACTTCTCCACCTAATAAAGTACAGCTAGTTTGATAGATTTTCCTCATCGATCAACCCCTTTGAACCCAAAATAATGCGAAATAGCTTTAAAATAAGTGCTTAAGCTAATTTTTTCTCAAATGTATCTTTGAATTTATGATAAATACAGCTCCACCAGCTTCAAAGAGCGGAAAAATGGTTTTAATATAACAAATTTACTTCCCCAAAAACTGAGTCGCACCGTGCTGGTCAAGGAGTCGCTTGCACTTGCAGATAAACTTGGTTTGACTCCCGGCGAAGCAGCTAGTTTTTTGATACTCAATTTGTACATTTTTTCTGTTTAGTTTTTGTTTTTTAACCCTTTTTATCTCTTTGGCTTGTTTCCCCCGAGGTTTTTGCGATAACGTACGGATTTCCAGTAACTTGGCTTTTGTGTGGTTTACTTATAACTAGGCCTTTTACGCTGTACCACACACACACACACACAAAAAAGTTTATACTAGAAATACGTTGTCGCGAAAATCTCGCAAAGCTGTAAAGAGTCAGCAAAGAGAATCAAGGTAAACAAGCCACAGGTAAAGAAAACAGGATTAAAAAACAAAAACTAAACAGAAAGAAGAAATGTACAAATTGAAAATAAAAAAGCTGTTTGGCCGGGAGTCGAACTTACAATCCTTGTCACATTACTTTGGGACACCCGGTGCAGAAACCATATTGCGACTAAACGTTATGCTCCTTCTCTCCCAGTGTGGAATTTTTTGCTTCTGTGATGCCAACTCGCAAAAACCAATGTTGGGAGGACAGAAAACATCACAACTGTCCCAACTAATGTGACGAGGATTGTAGTTCTTGAAATTCGACGTTTGAACTGGTCCTAACATGACTGATAACTTTCAGCTTAGTGGTTTGCAGGCTGTTATCCTTAAGGCATATGGATATAATAGCACTAGAAAAAGTCCACTGTCCTGGCCATGCGTGTGAATAAAATAAAAGCAAATGGAATCACTTCTCACTATAGTGGACCACCTCGATCTGTGATTTCCTTGTATAAATGTGCCGCAGCGAAGAAGGAAGAAAAAAGCTAAACTCTTTTTCATTAAATTATTTTACAAAGATTTAAACGTGAAACTTTATATAGAGTAAAATAATTATAATTTACTTTTACCGGTATCACTTGTGATAGTAATAATAATAATAATAATAATAATAATAATAATAATAATAATAATAATAATAATAATAATAAAATAAAATAGGAGAGTAAGATTAATCCTAAGAACTGAGCTCAATGGAAGAAACAAAATAGAAGCTATCAATAGTCTTGCAGTCCCAGTTGTGCAATATAGCTTTGGCATCATTGACTGGAAAATCTCAGAACTGAAGAAGATTGACACAAAAACACGCAAACTATTGAACATGCACAAGATGTTACATCCTAAAGCAGATGTGGAAAGGCTGTACATCCCAAGAAAAGATGGAGGTAGGGGCCTGATTGATGTAGAAACAGCATTCAAAACTGCAACAATAGGGCTTGATCACTATCTGAAGCACAAGGAAGGGCAATATCCAAAGCAGGTGCTTGAACATGAAAGATCTAAAGCCAAAAATTCAATATCCAAGAATGCTACTAAATTCAAAAGGGAAGTAACAATGCCAGAGATTGAGAACAGAGTAGATAAATCTGCCTCTGAAAATGCTAAAGCCCTGAAACACGTGTTTAAGTCCAGGATGAAGTCAATGAAAGAAGAAAAGTGGAAAAACAAAGCATTGCATGGCCAGTATCCAAAGATCCTAGAGAAACCTCATGTAGACACAGTCACTACCAACAAATGGTTGTCAAGTAATTTGAAAGGAGAAACAGAGGGACTACTTGTTGCAGCTCAAGACCAGGCAATAAACACCAGAAACTACCAGAAAATAATATGTGGCCAGCAAGTGGAGAGCAAATGCAGATTGTGTTCGCAACATGAAGAGACAGTGGACCATATTGTATCTGGATGTGAGGTATTAGCCAAAACAGAGTACATCTCCAGGCACAATAATGCTGCAGCATATCTCCATTGGAGCATATGTAAAGATCATGATATAGAGATTGCAGACAAATGGTACGAACACGAACCAGAGACCGTGATACACAATAAAGATAACAACATCACCATCATGTGGGACATGCCAGTCAATACTGATAGAACTATAACAGCGAACAGACCAGATATCATCGTTAAAGATTCAGTGAATTCCACCTGCAAACTTATTGATATGACTGTTCCATCAGATAGAAACATCGCACTGAAGGAAACTGAAAAAAAATGCAAGTACAAAGACCTAGAACTAGAAATACAGAGAATGTGGCATATGAAAACCGTAGTGATCCCTGTGGTTGTTGGTGCGCTTGGTACAGTGAAGAAGGGTATGGTAGAAAACATCAAGAAAGTATCAGAGAGAGCTAGTATGACAGAGATTCAAAAGATCTGCATGCTGGGATCTGCACGAATCCTTAGAAAGGTGCTCAGTGTATGAACAGAATGATTGACTTGAGTGACTGACGCTCTAGGTGCATGGTTTGCGCCCGGCTGATGCGCAAAAAGAACACCAGCAAAGACTGTGATAATAGAGATAATAATAATAATAATAATAATAATAATAATAATAATAATAATAATAATAATAATAATAATAATAATAATAATAAACTGGAAATAAGCGAAAATAAATGCAATAAATTTGACCAAAAAACTATTTCGTTTCGATTGTTAATCAAATTTTTAAGAAAGAAAAGCAGCATGGTTTCGATATGCAAATGTCACGTCCGTTGCAAAGTGAAATTTTTATTTTAAGCAGATCATTGTAACTGTTGTAAGGAAACTAAAATATTGCATATTCCATACTTTAAGCTTTTACACTTCAAAACATAAATAAATCAGTAAATCGACATTAAAACTACCAAGAAAGGTAGGTATAAATATCGCGAATGTACTGTGATAAAAGTGTGATATTGAATGTTCAGTTGTTTGATAGCTACGTCAGTGTAGTCAGACATAGAAGCGTTGGGAATATGTATCTTCGTTAAACTTTTGATTTGTAGCGCGCAAACATGAGACAAATATTAAAGTCTATCCATGCCTGAGACAATCTATATAGGAAAGTGGTGTTTCATAAAGAGAAAGCCTCATTTTTCAGAGATTTTAATCCAGAACCAATCGATGTGGCTCGCACTCCTTTAATGTTTCTCCATGTTAGCTCGCCGTGAAGCACGGCGCGCCAAGCCATTCAACAACCAACCCCTAGCTTAAAACTTTATTAAACAGGGAAACATAAGTCAACAGAACTTGAGCATTCCGGCGTAGATTTGAATTATATTACACGCCGCGTAAGTTTGAAACAAAATGGTTACTTCATTTGATTTAGGGGTCCGTTTTTTAATCTGCTTATACTCATACTCAAGCGGAAGGAAACATTATTTGAGGTGTATTTGTGCCTTCCAAGGCGAGATAATGAAAGGTTAGGCAATTATGAAGGTAACAACAATTCGGGTATTTGACCCAACAGGTTCGAGAGTCGAATTATGAGCATTGCGGAAAACAACAGACGTAGTCTAAATTTATGAAGTTTCAGACGTAAAAAGACTGTACTAAGACAAATGGGATTTACATACCTGAGGTGAAAATCGTTGAGATCGACAATACTGTTAGGAAGACAAGAAAGCGGCTCATCCTTCGGTTTCTCTGACTGACGCGTCTTCCGCATGAAGACGAGAGATTGCGTGACAGTAACAGTCACGAGATGAAAACAATATCCCTTTTAATATTAATTCAATTATTACCTGATGGGGCCTCCTTCTTCTTTTCCTCTTTTTTTTAACAAACAGGAAGTTATATCCACAATAAATATGTTCCTTTAACCCCCTGATAAATCGCTTGGTAAATTAGTCTATGATTTGCAATGAGACGTCCGTCGTCTCTGTTCCATCAAAACGTTTCATTTTTAACAATAGCCCACTATATTTTTGTCTTTTGGCAGACATCCGTTCATCGCCTCGTCACCATTTTCAACCTCAGAAATTTCGGTCCTTGATCAGCAATGGTCGGCATCGGTTAGTCGATTTCCATATTTTTAAGTTCCTTTTTAGCTGTCTTTAGTCGGCATCGGTTAGTCGATTTCCATATTTTTAAGTTCCTTTTTAGCTGTCTTTAGCTGAAACAAAATCATGTCTTAATCTTACTAATATATCGAATGACATCGGATTTCTCACGGCAACAGCAAGCAAGAAAAAAAACACGAGGGCACACGATAGCCTGTACATGTATAGCAAGCGTTTCCGAGTGGGTTCGTCGAGAAAGTTGATGCGATAACAAACAAGAGGAATGAAGGGGGAAGGGAGGGTAGAGAAGGAAACGCTGTTTCCTCTGCTCAACTCCCCACCCCCTCCCCCTCGCATTTTTTTTTTCGCTGTCGCTCCAATTTTCGCGCAATAACTCAATTGGAAACGCTTGCTACGCAGTCTAGGCACACGGGAGTGTTAATCTCCTTCTTTAATGTGGTCGAACTACAGAGGTAATCGCGATAAAGGGATCTTAAATCACTCTTTTTAAAATTAACTTTCTAGTGTGACCCCAAAATGTCATTTCGAGATCTCAGTTGAGGAAGATGTAATTTATAACAAAAAGCGACAGACGTCAAAGATGTAGAGTGCAATCTAAAGCGTCTCGAAATGTAAATTTTATCTCGCATGCAGTAAGAAACTAGCGATCCATTCAGCTCAATTCTCAGTGCTCGTAACCCGTTCCCGGTTCCTCGTTTTAATAACTTAACTTCATCGAAGCCTTTGCCGCACGAAAAGAGAAAGGTGGAAAGTGTCTTTAATTTGTCACTTGGGTTTGCCTTCGTTCCTTATGCAGTCTCCAGGCGAGAAAGGTGGCATGGGCGTACCAGCTTTTCATCAGTTGTAGGCCTGGCTGACTTTCATTTTCAGATATACTGAAAATTGTACACTCAGACCTCACCAACAGTGTGAGCTCTTGAGCTTCTCAGCTCACCCCAACAACGCATAATTTATTACAAGCGGTAGACTGATTAAACCAAAAGTTTGTAGGGCCGGGCCCAAAGGTCAATGGGCTGGCTACGTCCCTGCTTGGGGATGAAAAATAACGACCAATGAGGAACACCGTGAGAACGTGTTCTTGTGCCTCAAATACATTTTTTTTGTTTATTGTGCTATCAACGAAAAGTGCGAATGAATTAAAACATATTGCAAATTGCTTCAAAACAACAGGCTCATGTCTTCTGTGATCCATCCCGTATCATTAGCCAGTTTATTGCAACGTATCTATAAAAAAAAAATGCGCAATGAAACTAAAATCCTGACCTTATAAAGCCTATAATAATTAATGACGACGATACAGTATTATAGAATACAATATTATGCAAACTGGGTTACACAGTGAGTCTATGAGTTTCCCAGTAAGAATATATTCATATGCTTAAGGAAATAATTTTAAAAACATGGAAAACTCATTTGGCATAAAAGAAGATAAAAATCACTACACGGGGGTATTTATCACAAGGGAAATTGGACATCAAAATTAACCACTACAAAGTTGCACAACCTTTCCAACTGCTTTTCTCCGAGATTGCTAGCCTAAAAATGTCCTTACGTTGCATTGATGTAACGCAACATCCCACTCATGTACATTAATGTATACAGCCATTAATTTATTAGCATCTAGAACTGAAGAAATCCCTAATCTCAATAGCGCTTATCCCATCTAGTTTAATTCGTCATTTTTTGGCCAAAGTTTTTGGAGTTAAATTCTAAAGGAATGAGTCAAAGTTCAGTGAAAGAAAAAAAGTCGTTGTCTTCCCGTCCTCGGCAAACTGTGAAATTAGGTACTTTCACAGTGTAGTCGTGCAAGGACTGCAAAGAACTGTACTAAAAAGCGTGAGCACACGCAAAGTTGTTGTTTTGCTAATACACTTTTGCTAATGCCGTTCTCGTTGCCGTCGTCGTCGTCCGCGTTGCTTAAGCTCCCTGATAGCAAAGTTTTTCAAACATGTCCACAAAATTAATGGCGACGAGTACGAACCAGATTCGCTGTCTGGTTTACAACGAAGCAGTCAGAGGTTCCTTTCACATGGTAGATCTCCATTCAAAATTCTTGTTGATAAGGAGTTTGAGATGTCTCTTAAGAGCGGATGTCAGTAAATATCGACCAGAGGTCTACAGAAGTGAAAATTCGAAAATTCTCAACAAAATTCACAAAGTAGCACTAGGTAAGCTATTAACATAAATGTAATTTTTACTTCGATCCGATAATTATTTTCCACGTACGGGGGGGTTATTGGTTTCGCGGCTCTCGGTTCTGGTTTTCCAGGCCCGAGACCATGTGTCACAAAAAAATCGTTTTAAAATTCAAATCCATTGTAATGCGGACAACAAATAACTTATTCAGAAGAGTACTTAATTGCACACATTCTAAGTGGTGATTTACTCAGTTTGAACGAAAGTGTAATATTTTGGAGATTTTTCATTATTTTCAATATTTTGAACGTTTTCGTTCAATGAAAAAATGGCAAATTTCAAAGCCCAAAATCGTCGACTGGTACCTCGATTTCAGTAACGAGTCTTATACCACGTTAAAGAGCGTTATCTCTTCTTTCAAAATCTGTNCAAACCCCAACCACGTGGTGACAGATGGTGAAGAAGGTAAACTCTTTAAAAGTGGCCAGTTTGGAACTTTCTATCCTGAGGCCCTCCAGAGAATCATGTGGTGGTTTTTGTCCCTCTACGTCGGTAATTTTTCCAAATCTTTGTTTATGCGACGTAGTTTTTCCTGGCATTGTCTACAAGTTTCACTCTTACGTGAACAGCTGTAGCCAACAATACAATTGAAATTAACAAATATGCAGAAGTGTTAGCTATAATTGTCTAGAAATGCAAGATGCCTGTGGACTTCTCCTTTGACAAGTCAACATTTGACTTGTAACAGCTAATTTTTTTAGGGGAACGACGGTTGTACATGTACAGTAAAATTATATTACGACTCAAAATTATCACTAGGCCAGGTCATGGTCTAAAGGAGAGTATGAAATAAATATAACATGTTAAACCTCTCCAACCCCATCCCTTTAGCAAATTTTTTATCTATTTTTCAATACCCTGTAGCATGAAAATTTTGCGGGTTCTAATTTTTGCGAATTTTGCGGATTGACCTCGATCTGCAAAAATTCGTTCGCGCAGAAAAAAAACCGGCAAAATAAAACGCCGCAAAAATTAACCCCCTTCAGTCAAATTAAAAACTCTGCCTTCAATGGACTTTCTGTGTATGGAAGGGATAGACTTTTGTTTTGTTTTGCTGTTGTTCAGTGAGTCTCTTTGTGCAGTAAGACTTTACGGTGATTACCGTATTATTCTCCATTAAATGCGTAAGTAGAGTGAACTTTGACTCAACATACCGTAAAATAAAAGTTGAAAATACCATATTAAGGTTTCTTCCACTTAAATATTCGGCTACTTGAACAGAGAATCGCAAAAATTAGCTCCCACCAGAAATTTCAGTCATCTCGAACCGCAAAAATTTGTTCCCGCAAACCTCAAAAAATCGCCAATCCGCAAAATAAAACTCCCGCAAAATTTTCATGTTACACGGTAGATTCGAAGTTTAATTTATAAAACAGTGAAGTGTTATATGTGAAATGAACTCCCAGAATTTTAATGGTTTTCTTAAATTCAGTGCCCTCTAATTCAAAGGAAATTTATTTCTGAAAGAAATAAATGACTGTTCTCCAGCTACCTGGGAGGGGGCGTTCCTGCCATCCGGGACATCATATATGTGTTTTCATGACATGAAGGCGAGGTACAGGGCCTCTCTGCTCACTGCAACAAGAAAGTTGGAAAACATTTTTTGATGGTGGGCAGCAGACTGGCAGTCAAATGTACACTCTCCCTGACCAAATGAATTGACAATTTGTGCAGATATTAATGGTTTCCAAATTCCAGTCGAAACTTCGTGTACTGGACCCAGATGATGTAAAGCNTCATACATTATCATACATCATGTCATACATTATCGGTGTTCTAAACTGTTCATTGTAAAATAAAGCTTACTGTAAGACCCATTGTTGCGCATGGTGTAAAGGCTGATCGGCTGTTCCGAGTTCGTTGGAAAGATATTCTTGACGTGCATAATTCTTGTCGCCTATCGCTGCATCGAAGAAGATAGTTTTGACTGTAAACTTTACGCGCTGCCTGATCCAGTCTCGTCGCTTTTGGAAGCGTCGGCAGTCGGTGTTCCCTCTCTTCATCGGCTTCGTTTACAATGTAATTGTAGTATTTTGCCGCTCCTCTGTACACGTTTGTGGTCGCTGTGTTGACGACGCTACCTTCGCTGTGCTAGGCGATGTTCTTTGCTTCATGGTTGTCTTCTTCGGTCCGCTCGCCGATGAATTTTAATCGACGTTCTCCAGAGGAGTTTCAATGGAAAATCTTCCTCGGCGAGGATTTTCAGGCACTTGCTGTGCTTGCAGTTATGTGTCATTTGCATGGCAAATTGTTCGTGATTCATCGATTGTAAACATTGTTTCACAGACGATGAATAAACACAACAGCCTCTCATGAATAATACATGAAAATGCGCCTTGGTCATCGGCGACAAAGTCTATGTTGCCTGGGAACGCAAAATGCTCCATGACACCAAGCATATATTCATGAAAAGATTTATTTATGGCGCATCGAATTTTGCAGCTGGTTAAGACCACGCGC